CACGGCGCGCTCTTTGAAATACATAACTTTGTGTTTTTTTCTCTTTTTTTTTGCAACATATTAGAAAATTCTCCTTTTCTGTGCGCAAAAAATTAAGTAAGGCGAATATATATATATATATATATATATATATAGGTATTTAAATTACGACAGCGTTATTATATAAATAAAAATTTAATTAATAGTCGATAGCTAATGTGATTAAAAATAGCCTTCACTAAAGTTATTTAGAATTTTCCAAAATTTTTAAATTTTAATTAAAAATTTTTTAAATTTAATTTTTTTATTTATATACAAAATTTTTAATTGTAGAATTTTCAATTCTCTGAATTTTCGTTTTTTTTTTAATTATTTTCGATACAAATTCTAAAGAACGTTTTTATTTAACCGAAAAGAACGCAAACGACAGAGAGATTTGGTGCGAATTTTAAAATTTGTTCTATTACAATTTCCTGTATTATTTCTGATTGGTAGATTTTAAAAATCGCGCCTAAATCTTATGTTCGGTGATTTCAAATTTCGATCACATGAAAAATTGACGTTTTTTTTTAGAATTCTATCAAATCAAAATTCGGACAAATGAAAATTCGGTGACCTAAAAAATTCCATAACGTAATTTAATAAAATATAAAAATATATAGAATTTCGTTTTGTATCCTGTAACTGTTCTGTTTATCTGAAATAATCAAATAACTTCTATTAATTGCTAAATGGTTTTAATCGAATTAAATTATGGAATCATTATTTTTTGATATGAAATAAAATGAGTTATACTTTAATAAAATAGAAATAATAAAGTAATACTTTAAATTAATAAGTAAAAATAAATAAAAAGGTTCAGTACCAGACATAACCTTAAAATTAAAATGATTTTATATAAAAAAATTAATAAAATTATTATTATTATTATGATTGCAAAATATAAATAATGTTTTTATAATTTGGAAAAAAACACCATTGTAATTTCAAGAAACAATTTATCTCATTTAAATTTATTGCTTTTGTAATAGTTGTTCCAAATTTTGTATTTTTTAAATTGTGTTAGATTATGTCACATATTAAAATTACATTAAAATTTTTATATAAAAAACGCATGCTTTTAATTATACCTCATTCTGAAATATATATATATATATATATATAAATGAAAATATAATTTGATGAGATGATATCTTCTATTGTTTTCGATTATTATTATTATATAATATATTTATATTAAAATTCACGAGGCTACTAAAAATTAACCAATTACCAATTTTTCTTCACTGAGAAAAAAAATTTAGTGTTTGCAACAAAATTATTTGATTAGGCAATTTTGGTTCTTGTAACCAAATTTTGGTTGGCTGAAACAAAGTCGTAGAGTTATCTCAACCAAACATTTGGTTAGGCCAACAAAATTATTTGGTTGAACTTTTTTAGATTCCAACTAAAATTTGGTTACGACAACAAAATAATTTGGTTAACACAACAAATAGTTTGGTCTTAAAAACCAAATTACCAAATTTTTTTGGTTGACTCAAACAAATAGTTTGGTTGCTTAAATACCAACAAAATTTTTTTGTTGGTCCAAATAAATTTTGGTTGCTCTGACAAAAAATTTATCTCAGTGTTTCTTTTTAGACCCCCTCCCCCCTAAAATAGGTAACGAAGTTTATGAACGGCCCCTAATTTACTTTATCATTTCTGATTGGTCGATTTTAAAAATCGCGCCTAAATCTTATTTTCGGTCATTTCCAATTTCGGTCAAATTGCCGTCTTTTAGAATTCTATCAAATAACAATATAAATAAAAGGGACTTTATTCTTGAAAAAAATTATTATTACTAATAAATGAATTAGTTAATTAGTTAGTTAATTAATTAATTAAAATTTCTTAAATTGTAAAATTTATTCTAATTTTCATTAAATTTGATGAAAGGCGATAAATAGTCAAACGATTGAAACTAACAAAATACTTGTAATTTATGTAGTTTACTCTAATATATAGATGATTTATTAATCCGCTTTGAAGTTTTGAGGAATAAGTTTTCGCGAAAGCATTGGAGCGTTTAGGAGTTTCTGAGAGGTGAGTTGTTGGAGGGGAAAGGGGGCAGATTACCACCCGTAAACCACCGGTAACTGGTAGGATTGTTACCGGTAACCCCGGGGCCGGTCGTATAGCCGACACGGCACATTATGCGGTCTCGCTTTATACTCCTTGCAAGAAGATAATTTCTTTTGGTTACATCAGAGTGGTCTGCCAACCCATCCTTGGTCGTCTACCTCTCTCTCTCTCTCCCGCTCTCTTTTTTTTCCAAAGCAACACCAAACACACAAGTATATGAACTTAGAGCTTCTTCACATTCAGTGCAAGAATGAACACTTGATCGAATGTATCAAAAATTTACCCCCTTCAAAAAAAAATAAATTTTCAAATTAATATTTTATTGTGTATATAACTTTTAAGTGTAATTTTTGCTAATTAAAAAGAAATTATGTTTTATAATATGTGTGTGACATAATAAGTGTCTTTTGATAGTGAAAACTCAGTGAAACTATGTTTAGATAAGAATTGGATATTAATAATAATTATTAATAATTGTGAATCAATTATTCAGATGAGAAATAGAGGTAAATTGTTATAAAATAATTAATCCAAATTCTGTAATTAAATCCTAATTAATATCAAAAAATAGCAAAATAAAAATATAAAATAAAAGATCGTAAATGAAGAAAATTACTGGTTACAATCGCAATAAAAAATGAGTTTTTATTTTTTATTAGCCGAAACGGCTATTTGACTCAACTAATAAGATATGCGGCTATTATTACAATAAAATTTCAAAATGAATAGTAAAATGATATTTCGTAAATCAAAAATCATATAATTTACCATTAATAATTTATGCTGTATATATCGAAACAAAGGAATGACATACCCCAGTTAATGTTCTTTATCTAAATCTCGAAATCAAATAAACTTAACGCACAGTGCGTTTGAGTTCTTCAACCCGTTAACCCAGAATTATTGTTATAGGTTTTGTTGCTTGAAAATGAAATTCTAACTGAATTCCCAAAATTAACATAATAGCTCAAAGGCTTAATAACAATACACTAAATTGGCTTAATCAGATACCTAATTACAAGCATTCAGATGTAGATAAAAAGTAAATATAAAAAAAAACAAAGGGAAATAATATATTAATTAAAAAAAGGAAATTTAGAGAAATTATTTCTCTTTATGAAAATATATACTCTGAAAAAAATTTATTTGATTCAAATTGATTGACTATTATCAAATAAATATTTATTTGTATCAAATATCTTACCCTAAGCATGCGTGCTTTGAAAGATAGTTTTCCTAATCTAAATAAATTTGTGAAATCTATCATAAAACAAAAGTTAAACTAAAATATTTTTTTTATATAATAAATTACATCTCAGTGTTAATATTTACATTAAATAAATATATATTTTTTTTGTGGAAATTGTTGAAAGTTAATTCTTAACCATGCTGAACCCTTTCTCTCAAACTAAAATTCAGTAACAGAATCAATTAAATGGTATTTATTTCAAATACAGAAATTATTGATTCAAATACAATTTAATTAATTCAAATAAAAATTATTTGGTTCAAGTAAATAATTGATAATAGTCAAGTAATCGAGTATTTGAAACAAATTTTTTTTCAGTATAAAATTAATAATATTTATTTATTTATTTATTTATTTACGGGACTTCAAAAGTAAAGTGCCCTTTAAATACAAATTTTTTTTTAGTATAAAATTAATAATATTAATTATTTTATAACTGTTAATAAATTGTAACCACATTAGGAAAGTGATATAGTTTTTTCTAGAACTTTTCTACTACATACAGTAGTATTTTTCGTTATTTATTATTCATCATTAATATAAAACAAGCCTTTTCATTTTTTCTTATATCTTCTTTAACAGTCGTCTCTGAAACAAAAAGAATTATTATATTAAAAAAAAATATTGATTTCATTAAAATAATCGGTTAATTAACTATTATTAAATAAATATTTATTTGCGTTAAATAATAATTATTGAGTTAATTAAATATTTGTTTCAAATACAAAAATAGTTGGTCCAATATTTAATTCCAATAAAAATTTATTCAGTTCAAATAAATATTTAATTTAAATTTATTAAATGTTTATTACCAATTATATGAATTAAATTTTTTTTCAGTGTAGAAATTAGATCCAATGAAAATTCAAATAATTATATAACGAGTTATATAAATATTATGATGGAAATAAAATATATTTCATATATATATATATATATATATATATATATATATATATATAAAAAAAAGATGCAAATATCTATAAAGAAAGCGATTTTCAAATTATATGAAAAAATAAACATATATATATATGATTTATAGAAAGTTCTTAATAAAACTCTGAATTATATTTTATTTAGAAATTGAAAGTCTTTTTAGGTATTCATTAAAGAACTAAAGACAGTAAAAGTTGGCTATCAACTTGAGGTTACAATAGTCGATGTATATACACAGGATTTCATTATAATTCAAACGTTCCTTGCTTAAGTGCGCATCCTGTGGGTGGTTCACCAGGTTTAGCTTCAATGATTTGATTTCTTTAAGTTGATTATACATTACTAATTATACTTCAAATTTCTCCTTTATAAAAAAAAATTTATTAATAAAATAATTTTATTAAATTTATTTTAATATTCATTTATTTATAGATTAATAAACTCTGATGAGTAAACACCAGTTTTGAAACTTTAAACAACTTTTCTAAAAAAATTGCCAACATTCTAAAAAAAATTCTTATTATTAATTGGGACATGAAGATTAGAATTCTTTATTTTTTACATGTAAATAAGCTTCTTGTTTTACTGTTCTTATATCTTTAAAAAGACTAATTATTTAAATGTAAAATATTCACGTACCTAATTAAAAACGAATAATTTCAAAATTAATTTTGATTTTCAAGAATAATTAAAAGAAAATTTTATTTTCCAGTTTGAAAGAGTTGAATCTTGATCGCAATGAGATCAAAGAACTGCCAGAAGAAGTGGGAGAATTGCGACACTTGAAAATAATTTCACTGGCTGGAAATTCGATCAGTAGCCTTCCGAGGTTTTTGAAAATGCGAGCTCTGGCAATTACGGTAAGTTTTTTTTTGCACCCAATCAATTGAAAAGCAATAGTGTAAATTTAAAAAAAAAATAAAGCAATGAAAAAAATTTTTATTGAAATTATTCCCTATAAAATAGCAAAAAAGTAATTTTCTTCGTTTTAGAAAAAGGATAATTAATACGATAATTATTTTTATTTTTTTTTAGAATATTTGCTATTTGAAAAATTGCAATAAAACTAGAAAAATTAGATTAAAAATCGTAAATTACTTTTTCGAATTAATTTATGACCCAGCTTTCGCCGGGTACGAAAAAAAATTGTCTTATAGACTCATCATTTGTTCCCCTCCACGGAAATCTTTAGTAAAAGGCGAAAGATTTATACGTGTTCTGAAGGGAAACCAGAGTAATGAATTGAGCCTCGCTAGCCCTTTATATAGGTTTCTACGTTTCAACACGTATTTGAGAAATGTAAACAATCGCGCATTCTATCGGAAAAAAATCGAAACTAACTGTCAGCGCGCCACAATTTTAGACGCATGCGTCAATTTAAAGGGATTCTATGTAGAATTTGAATGAGAATGAAGCGCTCTTACCACGACTATATATGTAATTTCGTGTATACAATTCAAGGACAATGAAACAAGAGTTTTAAAAAATCAATGATACAATTTTCTACCATCACATTCTGATAATTATTTTATTATTAAATCAATGAGACAAAATTTTTTTAAATAAAATACGAAAAATATTGCAATTTTTGTGGTTTCAAAAAATTTATATATTATTATTATTATTACACTAAAACAAATTATTGGATTTAAATAATTGGTTACTTAACTATTATCAAATAAATATTTACCTGAACCAAATAACTTTTATTTAAATTAAATAAACTGTATTTGAACCAATAATTTCAGTATTTCAAATAAATACCATTTAATTACCTTAAATAATAATTATTTAGATCAAGTAATTATTTATTTGATAATAGTCAAGTTACCGATTATTTGAATTAAATAATTTTTTTCCAGTGTATTATTATTATTGTTATTTTTATTATTATTAATATTATTTTATCCTTCTGCAAATTTAAATTTTATTAAAAATTATTATAGAATTTAAATTACTATAAAATAATAATAATAATTAATTTATTAATTGCAGGATGTCCTCTCTAAAGGGGATCATGGAAAAATGCACAAGGAAGAGAAGAACAATCATAATAATCTACAAAAAGTAAATCTACGAAATAATCATCTGAAAGGAAGTATTATACTTGGAAATTATGGAGTAAGTATTTTCAGGGTATATAAAAATTATGCATTTAAATTTAAAAAAAAACAATCTAATATAAAAATTTATTTTTAGAATTTAACACACTTGGATGTTAGTGAAAATAGCATTGAAAAGCTCGATATTAGTGCTTTACAAGAATTACGAAGCGTTCGATGTGCTAGAAATTCTTTAACCGAATTAACAGTCTGTGGTCGAAATTTAGTTTCACTTATAGCCGGAAATAATAGTAAGATGATTACAAATTTTTCAAAATATTTGATTTTTAATTAACGACTAATTAACGAAATTAAAAATTAAATTTCCATTTTTAAATTAACAGCCAAATAAAATTATTTAGGGAAAATTTTTAAATTAATACGTTTTTTTTACAGAACTTAAAAAATTGACAATTGAACCAACACCAACGAATCTAGAACACTTGGATGTTTCTTAGTGAGTATTGCATTACAAATACATAAACTTAATAATTAATTATTATTTTCATTTGATAATTATAATTTATTATATTTATTATATTTATTATATTATAATTTTTTCTTTAAAAAATAATAGTTTATTTATTAATTTATTTCAAAACATAAATTTATTTAGTTTACGTTTATGGTTTGAAAATAACATTTTAAAGTTTTATTTTTGAATTTTTTCTTACCGATTTCTCATATTACTATCGATTTAAAATTATTTACCTTTTTAAATAAATATTTTATATTTAAAAATATTAACTTTCTATCCGTTTGATAAAAATTTATTAAAAAGTTTGTAATTACATGATTGAAAAACTGGACTTTTAAAACAATTTTTTTTTTAAATTTCACTGTTTTATTTTAATATAATTAAAATGGAATTCAAATATCAATTTAGCTTTCTCATAGAGGAAGTTTTTTTTTTAAACAGATAATTAACTAATTTTTTATTATTAATTAAAATAAATAAATTATTAATTAAACTAAATAAATTATTAAATAAGTATTAATAATTAATTAATTAATTTAACAATCCAGAATATGTTTGTAATGGGAGTTTTTTTGCATTAGATTTTGAGATAGCATTATCTTGAATTAGAATGATTAAGAGTTTGCGTTTTAGTTTCATTTTGCACTTGATTTGATATAGATTTATATTAAATTGACAACAGAAATAGCATTTTGCCAATGGTAGACGTTGAATATTATTTTCCTTCAAATTAATTGAATATTAAAAAAGTATTTCATAAAAAAAAATTAAATAACGTATTTTTGTATCTTTTCAGCAATTCACTGGATTCTCTGCCTGAATGGACACCAGAACTGCCAGTGTTACGTGCACTGTTTGCATCCCATAATGCCTTGACAGCTTTGCCAGACAGATTGTTGTCTCAACCTTCGAGGCTCGAAGTACTACATTTACCTCACAATAGATTACAAGCACTTCCTCCACCGAGAAGACCTTTGAACATTGTTCATTTAACTCTTCAGGGCAATGCTTTGACAGCGTTACCAACAAGTTTCTTTGTTAATACCGAAAAGTAAGCAAAAATAAATTGTCAGAAAGTTGTAAATTTTTTTTTCAAACTGACAACAAAAGGTAAAATGAATTAATCTTTTTTTCAGAATGAAAGTTTTAAATCTCTCCAATAATCGACTGTCAGAATTATCATTTTCCGATCAAGGAAACAAAAATCGTCACGTTTGCCATGCACTTGAAAAATTGTATTTAACGGGAAATTGTTTAACTGATACAGTTTTAGATGCACTAACAAAATTCTCATCATTGAGAGTTTTACACATGGCCTATAATGTGCTGGATACACTTCCCGAAAGGTAAACATTAATGTAACATAAATAATTTAAAATTTTTTATAACAAATAAAAATAATGAAAAATAATTAAAATTTCAATTTATAATTATTTTTATAAAAATTTATTTGCATTTTTGAGTCTGAATTCTCATAACACTATTATAAATAATTACTTTTTCAAATAATGTAATTTTATTTACAGTTGCATTGCATCTTGGACTGAACTTGAGGAATTAGTTCTATCGGGTAATAGACTGCAGTATTTGCCCGACAATGTTTCACACTTAAAGCACTTGCGAGTTCTTCGAGTACACTCCAACCGTCTCCTTATTTGTCCCACATTTAACAAGACCACATCTTTAAAGGTATTTTCCACAAATTAATTTCTATTCCTTCGATAACTGAATTTGATTTTATTTAATTTAATTTTCCATTTTCATCACACCATATAGGTATTGGATTTAGCTCACAATCAATTGGACCGAGTAAATTTATCGACTCTAGTACCACCACAATTACAATTTCTGGATATATCATGTAACACTCGTCTTCATGTGGATCCACGTCAATTTCAAGTTTACAGATCTCAAAGACCAGTTTCTCTTGTTGATGTATCCGGTCAGAATAGACCAAGTTTGCCATCTCATCCACAACAACAGGAATCATCAACGGGAGATAAAGGATTGGAACAACCATGGAGATTGGGTTTCTCCGAGACGGCGGGAACAAGAGAAAAGTAAATTAATTTTTAAATAAAATTTAGTTTGCGTCTTCAAAAAAAAACAGAAAATAACCAAAGAAATAAAATTTATATTTATTACCGCTTGATAATTCAGTGATATTTTAGTGTCCGAGGGTTGCATTTTTCCACCCTCTGCACGGTGTTTATATACGGAAAAAATGTTTGCCTGATATGTAGCTAAAAGAAAATTGTCGGGATCTCTTCGTAATGACTCCTGATGCTTGAAAATCACCCTCCCAAAATTTGATCTGATCCTTTTTTTAAGATATTCGTAAAAAATATTAAAATTTCAAAAAAGTGTTACGTCTCAAATAGAGAAATAACTAACGAAATAATATTTTATTTATGGCCGCTCGGTGAATGAAGGTATACCTGTTTCATTTACAGAGCATAAGGCTCTGAACTAAGGGTACAGGAAAGAAAGAGAACAGTGGTATTTAATGACAAGGGTACAAATTTATTTAGACAAACTTTTAGAGTTATAAAATTGATCTTTGAGAGAGAGTATCTTGAAGCAATCATTCTTGAAATAAAGGTAAGTCAGCATTCCACTGCAACAAGGAATGTAGAGGTTACTACAAATTTTTATAAGGAGTTAGGAAGGATTTAGATAAAAAGTATTACAATTTACCTTGAAAATTTAGATGTAAGATGTATGAAAAAGGACCACTGCTGTGTCCTAATTATGATAGGAACTTCTGGTACCAGATATAGTTTAAGAGCTCAGAGGAAAATTGACGGGCCTTGGTGATGACCACAGGTCCAGAGTTCAGTTGACCGTAATGAAACACAAACAGTTAAATTTTTCCAGAAAAGGAAGAAAAAAATGATTTCCAAATATTATGGGAAGTTAAATCCTTGAATACTCCAATGAGCTCTTCTTGATGTAGAAACTTTTAACACAGAGATTCTTCTAAGTCGAACTTGAGTATGAAATCGAGCAGAGTAACAATGCTTGTACTAAATTTCGTATGTGACGAAGACGTGCTGATACCAAAATATGAACTGAACTAGCGGTTTCGGTGGCAATTTCTGAACTGGTACCAAATATGAAGTAGAAGTAACGTGTATGATGAAAAGATCTGAACTGAACTCTCCGTAAAAATGTAGCCCTTTTATATCAAGTTTTCGTAGGAGAGACTATAAAATTTTATTGTCTTGTGTTGCTAGTTCTATCTCTCTCTCTCTCTCTCTCTCTCTCTCTCTTAGTTAAGCGCAAAAGAGGGTTTGTCTGATTATAATATAGAATTAGAAAGAGAGCACCTCTGTCTCAGAAACGCAGGTGTAGGCGACAAACACTACAGGGGTAGTATATGAGAAGGAGAGCGCCTTCGTGTCAAATCGCAGCTGTAGGAAAGAGACACTCGTTTATGCCCTTTTAAGGAAATACTGAGTTTCGGAATCTCTTCGTAATGACTCCTGATGCTTGAAAATTACCCCTCCAAAATTTGATCTGATTCTTTTTTTAAGATATTCGTAAAAAAATATTAAAATTTCAAAAAAGTGTTACGTCTCAAATTGAGTAGATGTGTTGAAAGAAAAAGGACCACTGCTGTGTCCTTTGTTGTCAGAGGAAAAAGAGCTGGTACCAGCGTGAGTTTATGACGTCAGGAAGGTTGACGGGCCCAGGTATAACCGCAGGTCCGAAATTCTATTAGGCGTGACACGGTGCGCCAGAAGCAGGTTTAAATAAAAATGAGTTGTCACTTAAAAATTCTTTTTGATTATGGTTCTTAAATAAATAAAAACCATTTTTCAATAGGTTTTAAAATCAACTTACGTGCCAAATTTTAAAAAAATTGAGTTTTAAATATATAAAAATAGTGTTTTATGAGGAACCAGAATTTATTTAATGTATATTTATATGCGTATAGATAATAGATGTTTTAGATTTGGGTTCATATAAATTTATTAACATTGAAGTTATTTTTTTGTTTTGTTTTTATATTTATGCATTAAGAGTGTCGAACGGTATCTAAAATTCTTTAGCAAGAAGAGAATTTTAATTATCGCTCTCAACGTGAAATAGTATTCATTTTAAAATACTTTTTTCTCGAAACACGAACACTTTTAACAAAATCAGCCAAAATCCGCATCTTATAAATTTCCTAAATCCAAAAGACTGTACGAATCCATAGAAAAACATGGTTGCAAAACAAAAAGTAGAAAAGTAATCTAATAACAGCTGCGATTTTGTGCGCCCTGCATGCTGCTGCCATCTAACGGCGGCAGGAGGTAATGTACCTGTCATTATATTACTTTTCCTTTTGCAATCGTGTTTTTGTATGGATTCGCATAATCTTTTGGATTTAGGAAATTTATATAAGATAAGAATCTCTAGCTGCTTTTGTAAAAAAGTGTCCGTCTTTCAAGAAGAAAGTAATTTAAAATTAATGTTTATCATTTTCACGTTTAGTGCCGTTTTTATAGGGCGATAATTAAAGGTCTCTTCTTTTCAAAGAATTTCAGAGACCATTCGACTCTCTTAAATAAATTTTGTCCCTCTTAAAATAGTTCTTTTAACATTATAATTTAATTTTTTAAAATCGGATACAAACACTACAGCAATATAATTATTTATATGTAAAATTAAAAATAAGTAATTATTTTATCATTTATTACAGTATTTATTAGATTAAATAAATTCTGAGTCCCCATAAAATTACTGTTTTTTATAAAAAAATTAATTTTTTTTTAAATCGGGCACGTAAACTGATTTTGAAAACTATTGAGGAATGTTTTTTATTCATCTAAGAATCATAATCAAAAAGAATGTTTAAGTGCCAATTCATTTTTATTTAAATCACCTTCTGGCGCACCATGATGATGAAACTCCCAATAATGAGTCTCTTCCAAAAAAAAGGAAGAATGGATAATTGCCCAATATAATGAGAAGAAAAGATCCTCGTTTAATGTAGAGGGTTTTGACACTTGACTTTAACTTTCGTATAAGAAAATTATGCACTTGAACTAGAAGACGTCGACTGGTGCCCAAAATGAGCTTGATGTAATACGTATGAAGAGGATTTCAGAACTGGTCTCTCCGTGAAAATGTAGTCCTTTTATACTGAATTATCGTAAGAGAATAGATAAAATGTTATTGTCGTGCTATATATTTTTCACCCTAATTTTGGAAGCCAAAGTTGAGTCCTTCTCTCTCAGTTGAACGTTAAAGGAGGGGTGGAAACCGTTCTAATACAGAATAGAAAGAGTACGACTACGGTTATTCGCAGCTGTAGAAGAGCGTCTGTCCTCCCCGCAATTTTCTTTTAGCTACATATCAGGCAAACTTTTTTTCCGTATATAAACACCGTGTCTGAATTCGGAGAAAAATCCAATGTTGATATTCAGTAGAAGACTATAGTCTAATTATATAAAAATTGATCTTAGTTTTTATTATCTCAATTCGGAGAAGATCTTACGTGACGTAACAATAAAATAATTCACTTTTTATGAATTCATGTAAATTATTCTATTTCAGACTCTATGTTTCTCAAGTTAGAATGCCAACATTTTGCAATGTTGAAGGACTTTTTGGAATATTTGACGGTGGTTCCAATCAGGAAGCACCAAGTGCACTTCAAGAAATGATTCCAAGACTTCTTTTGGAAGAGAGAACAATTCGAGAAACTTCCAACGAATATCTAAAATATACTCTACTATCAGCTCATCGTGAACTTAAGGAGAAGGGTCAAAAATATGGAATAGACGCAACATTATGTCACATTACAAAATTACCAAACACTCAAGGTTTTCCACGAGTGACAAGAAAATATTCCCTAAAAATCGCGTCATCAGGCGATGCAAAAGCCGTTCTTTGTCGTGCTGCTGGACCATTAACATTGGCAGCATCGAAAAAAATGCCAGTTAAAAATCAATTAGGTAATGCGGCAATGTTTCCATTAATTGTTCCTGATCCAACAACAGAGGAAGTTATTCTCGAGGATGACGATGAATTTGTCATAATTGCCAATAGACGAGTATGGGAAGTACTTAGCGTTCAGGAAGCAGTTAGAGAAGCACGAGCCGAAGCCAGTCCTGTTTTAGCAGCAAAACGACTGCAAGATTTAGCTCAAGCCTATGGAGCTGAGGATAATTTGAGTATTGTTGTAGTGAGACTAACGGGTCCAGGACAAGGTGATTTAGATCAATTGATGCGAGAACTGAGGCAGGCAGTTAACAAAAATAGAAATCAAAATGAATGCTCATGTCCATGTTGCATTCCACCGACACCACACAAACCACCAGCACCATGTTGCTGTCACGTTAATAACGAAGGATACTATCTTAATGGAGTCTTAAAAAATATTGTCAACAGGTAAGCATTTAAATTAAAATTAATTTTTCTAGGATCTAAAAAGACAAAATAACATAAATTTATTTTATTCCCTTTCTTTTCTCTTAACAGATCGACAAAATCGCACAATGGCTCGGGGCGTTTCTTCAAAAATTGTTCAAAAACAACTGAACGTGCTGAAAATGAGAGTCCACCGTTTGGCGACGATCGTAGTTCACCAAGTGGACAATCCGATCAGACAAGTGACAGTACATTTAAATCACGAAGACCATCTGGACGCACATGGGCTGGTAATGCTGCGTCGAGAGCAGCCAACAAGGTTCGACAAAGTACAACAACAACAACACCATCAGCGGTATCACTGCAGGAAAATCGAAAATCACCAATTTGCATTACAACACAAGATGACGATGACATCATACCCGATAGAACGGGAGCCTTAACTGATGAACAATTTCGTTGCTGGGAATATATGCTCGAGCAAAATACACAACTTTTATTTGATAAAGAATTGGATACATTGACGAGATCACCATTAAGAAGAGGTCAGTCTAGATCAACGCCACAACTTGCTGGTAACTTGCCTTTTTTGTCAAAACGATTCGGCAGTGCCAGATCCTTCAATCCAACTGTTTTACCTCGATCATCAATGGTCAGGTTTGGCAGTGGAAGAAGACTATTAAATGGTGGTCCGAATGCTGCCTATTTTGGCAGTTTACAAAGACTGATGCCGTATAATTTGGAGTATGATTTTGCAGTGATTCAAGAAAGAAGCGGTTTGGATTCACTTGAACAAGACGCGTCAAGGATGCAACAATATTGGGGTGTTGCCACCACTGAACTCTAATTTTATTGGTTACCGTAAGTTTCTTCAAAATCGAATTTAACCGAAGATCAATTTTCCCGAATATACTGCTACCGACAAATGATTTCAACTAACGATATGCTTTTTGTCATTTATCTGAATTGAAAATGTACTTATTGAATACTAATGACACCACAGGGCTGAATTTAATATCAAATGCAGTAATGCACTTAGAACGTTGGACTGCTGTAATTCCTAAAAAGCAAACTTCCATTTTGAATTTTTGTAAATATTGCAACTCTTTTCACTTCTTTACTTTGAAACCTCCTAATAGCGGACACCTTTGCTAACGGAAGTTTTTATCTTTCACCGTCGTTGTCCACTATTGGGAGGTTTCACTGTATTATATTTTTAATAATTGTTAATTTGTGAAAGATGAATCAAATAATTTTTGTTTATAGAAGTTTATTATTCTTTATTTTGAAAACATTGTTGTAGATGATTTTACTCTGGGTCCTCTATTCGATTTTAAAGATTTTTTAGACTCCAATTCAGGAACTGAATTTTGATGGGTTGTTGAATAACATTCGTAAACTTTTAATTGCTAAATTATCACTGGTTTATACAAAAAAAAATGTATTTGATTCGAATAATTTGACTATTATCAAATATTTATATTTGTATCAAATAATTTTTATTTGCATCAATAATTTCTGTATTTGAAATAAATACCATTTAAATAATAATTATTTGATACAAATAAATACTTATTTAGTAGAACCAATTATTTGAATCAAATACATTTTTTTTCAGTGTATATGTAATTATTGTCGGAAAGATATAATCGGGAAAATGTTTCTAGGAAATCTGGCCGATATCCTAATTAAACTACCCTACCAGCCAACTGGAAACTGATATTGTAATTATGTATACATACTATTTTTCTATTTTTATATGTATAGCTATTTAATACCCTTTTTCTTGTTTCTAATTTCTTTTCATTTTCTAAATCGAAAACTGATGAAAGACTGATCAAAATGAAGCACAATTTTTTAATTTTACAATTATTTGAAAATCAAAAATTATTGCAAATAATTCGCGCAAAGAAAATCAAAACTTTTTTGAAAACAAATTTTTTTTAAGGAAGAATTGAATTTTTAAATTTTATTAGTTTTTCTCGAAAAAATTCAATGCTTTCTTAAATAATACAATTGTTTTTTTAATCTTTAACATATAGGTTAATTTTAATTATTACTAAATATATTTTCTTTCTAAAAATATATTTTAAAAAGGATCATAATAATTTTTTTTTTTTGAAACATCTTCATTAAACGTTTTTTTCTTCCTAATTGCTCAACAAGGGGAATGTAAATTTTTTACCAAATTCTTCCGAATTCTTATATATAGAAGAATTTAGTGACATCAGTTTAATTAAGTTTTTTTTTTCAAAGATTGTATATAATATATTCGTAACGTATATTATAAAAAACCTTTTTCTTTATATATATATATAGCAGTATTATATATTAAGATAAGAATATAATTTTGTCTAATACAATCATTTTTCGTGCACCCGAAAAAATATATTTTATATTTCTAAAATACACTGTGTTTATTATTTTCATTAAAAATCCGTTTATTATCACTGAAGAAAAAATTTGATTCAAATAATAGGTTACTTGACTATTGTCAAATAAATATTTTTTTTTATCAAATAAATATTTATTTGTATCAAATAATTATTATTTGATTCAATTGAATGGCATTTGTTACAAATACAGAAATTATTGGTCTAAATACAGTTTATTTAATTCAATTATTTGGTTTCAAAAATTATTTGGTTCAAGTAAATATTTATTTGATAATAGTCGAATATTTGAATCAAATAATTTTTTTTCAGTGTATAAATTCTTATTATATATTATGTATAACATCTGTTTATAACATTCAATTATATTTACGGAAGTGAATTTATACCAGGATTGTATGAAATTAACTTCTATATCAAAAAGCAAAATTTATACATGACTTATGCAAGTAGTGTAATTTATCAGGAATAATAAAACTGAGCTAAATGGAATTGTATATAAAAAAATATGGTAAGTATTGGCATTCGCGCCAAATTGAGTATTTAATTATTTGTTATAAAGAAATTAAAGATTAATATTATCAATAATAATTTAATTTATTAGAATATTATTACATATTAAATGATAATAATGAAAATTATATGTTTACAGGCCTCGGATTATACGACTTTTTACGACTTTTTTCAAAAATACGACATTTATCGACTTATTTTAATAAAATGCGACATTTTTTTTTACATTTGAAAAAAATGTAAATAAAATACATTTTTTTAGTATAAAATTTAGATCTTCTTCAAATCTTCTTCAATTCAATTATTTAACAAATTTTGAACTAAAATGATTCTTCACCAAATTAATTATTTTTAATAATTTTAATGAAATACATCACAAATTCAATTATATCAAAATTATTTTTCAATTAAAATTTTTATGAAATTTAACAATTGTTTATAATTTAAAAAAAAATATCACAATAAAATTGAATTATTTTTTAAAAATTTCAATTCAAAGTAAACTAAAATTCAATTATTACCCGAAATTTTAATTCAAAATCAATTAAAAATCCAATAATTATCCAAAATTTTCAATTTAAAATTTAATTATTTACCAAGTTTTCAATTTAAAATGAAATAAAAATCAATTATTTTCTAAAATTTCTATTTAAAATTAATTATCCAAATTTTCAATCAAAAATGAACTTAAATTAAATTATTATCCAACATTTCAATTAAAATTCAATTATTTCCCAAAAATTTTCAATTTAAAATCAAATAATATTTCATTATTTTCCAAAATTTCAATTCAAAATCTTTTAAAATTCAATTATTTTCCAAATTTTCAATTTAAAATAAAAAAAAATTCAATTCAAAATCAATTAAAATTCAATAATTATCCAAAATTTCAATTCAATATTAATTATTATCAAAATTTTCAATTAAAATTCAATTATTTCCCAAAATTTCAATTCAAAATCAAAGAAAATTCAATTATTTTCAAAATTTTCAATCAAAAATCAACTAAAATTGAATTATTATAAAAAATTTCAATTATAATTCAATTATTTTCAAAAATTTGAATTTAAAAGCTTCTAAAATTTAATTATTTCTAAAATTTTTTGAAATTTAACTATTTCAATTATAACTCTAAGGAAATTCAATTATTTTTAACTATTTTTATAATATTCTTTTAAAATTCAACTATCTGAAACCATTTTTTCAATTAAAAATGGTTTTCAAATTATTGTATTTTTGTCTGCAGTTTCTATTAAATTTTTTAGTTAAAAAAAAAAAAATTTTAATTAAAAATCACTTGAAGTTCAATTAATTTCAAAAATCTCAATTGTAAATCTTTGAAAATTTAATTACATTTAAAAAATGTTATCTAAAATTATTTGATAAATTATTTTTAGTTCTGTAAAATTTAATTATTGTCTGAAAATTAACAAAATCTTTTGAAATTCAATTATTTCTAAAAATTTCAACTTTAACCTTTCCAAAAGTATTATTATTTAAAAAAAAAAATTATTTAAAAATCTGTAAAATGTTTTTGTTAAAATAAAAAAAATCGACTTTTTCGACTTTTTTTAGAATATAAATCGACTAAAAAGACTTTTTTGTGCCTTTAAGTGGATCCGAGGCCTGTGAAACCGTTTTTCAATTAAAAATGATTTTCAAATTATTGTCTTTTGTCCGCATTTTCTAATAAATTTTTAGTGAAATCATCTAAAATTTTAATTACAAAACACTTAAAGTTTCAATTAATTTCAAAAATCTCAATTTTAAATCTTTGAAAATTCAATTAAATTTAAAAAATGTTTTCCAAAAATTGATTGATAAATTATTTTTAGTTCTGTAAAATTTAATAATTGTTTGAAAATTAACAATATCTTTTGAAATTTAATTATTTCTAAAAATTTCAACTTTAACCCTTCGAAAAGGATTATTATTAAAAAAAAAATGTTTATTTAAAAATCTGTAAAATATTTTTGTTAAATTAAAAAACAAATCCACTTTTTTTGGAATATAAATCGACTAAACGGACTTTAGTGTCTTTAAGTTGATTCGAGGCCTGTGTTTTTATAATTAATATTTAATAGGTATTCGTTGGCCCCTGGTACCTTAAAAATAAATTTTATTATTATATAATAATTCCCTAATAACACAAGATATCTTGGGATATATTGATAATGTCCCGCAGATATCCTAGGGATGTTCTATGGATATCAAAAGGATCTCTTAAGGATATCAAAAAAATCGGCGGGATTTACAGGATATCTTCTGGATATCTCTATAAACTTTCATAAATGTCCTCCAGATATCCCACAGATATTTTCAGGATATTCTCAGTATATCTTCTGGATGTCAAGAAGATATTCTCAGGATACTGTTTTTAAAGTCATTATGAGACTACGAGTGAGAATATTCTGTGAATTAAATTTTATATAAATAAAATAAAATGCAACTTGTTTTTCGAGAAAGTTTTTTAATTTGAAAAATTATTAACTAATTTTTTTCTCATTCGTGATTCATTCCTTTATTCATATGCTTAATATTGTCAGAAAATAAATTGGCTTTAAACAATATAAATTCTTCCCCGCAAATAACGAATAACTATTAATATTAATTATACATTAAGTGCATGAGTTTATTTAAAAACATTGAAAAATGCGTTTCAAATCTTCATTTAAAATAAATTAGAAGCTCATAAGATTTTTGTTTTTATTATATTATTATTCATTATATTAGCTTAACAATTTTAACCTTTAAAAATATATGTTAAGATATTAAATATCCCGTGAATATCCTAAGAATATCCCATGAACATTCTGAGGATATCCCATGGATATCCTGCGATATAATATCCAATAGATATTTTGTGGTTGTCTTAGGGATATCCTGTGGATATCCTATGGATGTCCTGTTGATGTCCCACAGACCGGCGGTTTGGATATCCTAGGGATATCCTATGGATATCCCAAGATATCCTGGGGACCATTCTAGAATATCGACCATTGATATGGATATTCTATGGATATCCTAGGGATATCCTAGGGATATCCTTTTGTTATGAGGGTTTAATAGTAAATTTTTTTTATTCTATTAAATAATAAAGTATCGCAAGAAAATAAAGTGAAGAAGATTATATATCATGTATCATATATCATTTGATATGAAATTAAGATCGTTTTCAATTGCGATACATAATTTAGTGCTTTTATTATAATTTATTCTCTACATCCTCCATGATAGGAACCCCTTTTAACAACTATTTTCCTGCTTATCATTTATTCAAATTGCATATTAAAAAAATAAATAAAATTCCATTATGCAATTATATTTATTTCTTATATTGGTTTATTTATATGAGATAAGAAAAAAAAAATTATTTTCACAAAGGCGCGGATGTTGATAAAATTCAGATATAATTAAATAAAATCACGCCATGCAAAAAAAGCATAATTTTCACTTATGATATGAATTATTATTAAAAAGTTTATAATTAGAAAAAAAATCCCCAATCTTTTATACAAAAAACAAAAATTTTGATCCAAATAAAAAATTAATATTACTAATATTAGGAAAAAAAAAATTACAATGGTCACGCAATCATTATTGAACGAATATATAACTATTTTATATTCATGCAAAAATTATTTTTCTGTACTGAAATACTCGAATATAGAAATAAATGCGTAAATTATCGAATTATTTCTAAATAAATATTTTTAAAAAAATCGATTCTATTAAATTAATTCAATTAAAAATTTAATCCAAAATCTAGAATTTCAATTTTATATCAGTAAATATACCTATATATATATGGGTAATTTAAGAAAATTATTATCCAAGAATTTTTAAATCACATGGTTGCGTTGAAAATATCGACCGCAGCGCCATTGCTTTCTATATTATATCGCGTGCTCGCGACGTTGCCAATTTGTTTAGTCACTGTTCGATTCTTCGAAACACAACACGCGAAGAATTTTATCATTTAAACATTTTTTTTTCGTTTTTCTATATGTGTTTGAAAGAAACAGCTGGGCTCCATAATAGTAGCCGAAAATTTTTTGCTGTCAATTTATGTTAATATTAAAATTTGATAATGCAAAATTTCGTAAATTTTTTCCTACAAAATCAAATTTTTGTTAAATAACACACAAAATATAACATATATAGTGTAAGGCACAATATTTTCTTGCCTAAAAAAAAAAAAAATTTCTAATAGTGACAGTGTTTTTCATCACGTAAGTTTTAAATATTTTATAGTAAATAGTAATTTTAAATTAAAAATAGTATTTTATAATAATAATAATAATTTAAATTATATTTCGAATATATTGGAAATTAATTTTTTTAATAATTTTTTTTTTATACATAATTTTTCATAAACGAAACAATATTTCAATTTTAATATTAAAAATACTTTGTTGGAAAATTGGAGCAAGATTTATAAAAATTGGATTATTAAAATTGTTTTAAAAAAGAGATTTTTAATTAAATTTAATGAATTTTATTTTATATTTTGTTTTAAAATTATTCAAAAATTATTTAAAAATTATTTTACAATTATTTTATTTATTTATTTACACGGGCAATTTTACCAATATTTTACATAATTTCCTACGAGTTTTTATTTGTAAAAATATTTTTTTGTTATATCACAACTTTCTTTAAATATAAAAATTGATATTAAAAATCGTAAGAATTTTTGATAAAAATTAGAAGACAAATGTTTAAAGCAATATTTTTTGTTATAAATGTAAATTTTTTCTTACCATTTATACAGGTAGCAATTTTTTTTCTCCATATAAACCAAAAAATAATTATAGCACGTGTTAAACTTACTCATATCTACAAATGATAAATAATCTAATCTATATGGAAAATTAAGGCCATTTGTAGATATTTAATAAAACAGTAAATAATACTAATTACTACTATTTTAAATATAATATTAACTTTTTTTTTAAATTTATATTTTTAATTAATAATTAATTTATATTTTTTAATTTTATATCAATTAATAATTAATTTACACTTTTAATGAATAATTAATTTATATCAATTAATAATTTAGTTTATACTTTTAATTAATAATTAATTTATACCTATACTTTTAATTAATAATTAAATTATATTTTAAAATTATTTCATTTTATATTTAATAATTAATTTATACCTATACTTTTAATTAATAATGAATTTATATTTTTAATTAATAAATTTCTAGTTTTAAAATCAATTTTAGTTTAACATTAAATTATTGCGTAGTTTGTAAATTATATTTCTTGGTTCAATGTCGCAATATGCTCTCAACATTACTGAAAATTAATTATTTGAATTGTTTCGACATTGATATTTAATATCTAAAAGAATATTTCACAAAAAAAAGATGAATTTTACGTTTCCAATTTCCAATTTTTAATTATAAATATAGAATGACTAAACTCAATAATAATAATTAAAAAAAATTATTATTCCAGTGCATTATGATTAAGCAATTAGGAAATAATAATAAACATAAGATCTCTCATATAACCAAATTTTCACTATGATTGTTTTGAATTGAAATTATAATTATTTCTATTCAAGTGTCAATAATGAAATTATTCTAAATTTTCCAATTTTCTCATTGAACTTAAAAATTTATTAAATTAATTTAAAATTAACACGAAAAAAAAAATTTCCAACTTCATTTTTTTTTAGATATTTATAATTTTTATTAAAATTGAATAAAAAAAAAATTTTCCTGATTTTTTTTCGAAATAAAGAGATTTTTATTAATAGCTTTATAAATTTTTAAAGCTGTTGTATCATTGCCAAGAAGTGTTGATAGTATAGAACAAAAACTTTTAACATTACAATACAATATTTTCAAATGTCACATGTTCACTGACGTTTTAGTCATGTGACTTTTTTCCTCTTTCTTAAATCAACAATAATATTATTACAAATGCATTTTGAAAATTAAATAATAAATAATAAAAAAAAATTAACCGGAAAATTTTATAAAAAAAAAAAATTACAAAAAATTCATAATAGTAACTTAATTTCTCTTTATATAATTTAATAAATCAATTTTAAATTGATAACAATTGGATAATTTGTAAATTTCGATTTCAAAATATGTATTATTGAAAAAAAAGTTATTTTTCTTAGAAATTTTTTTTTGTGTTTTATAGAACGCAACAACTAAAAAATCCTGATAAAATCATTTTTGAAGTTCAAAAAAAAAAAAAAAAATCAACAACAATGAGAGGTTCGAAAAGAGACTGGATGTTTAGAGTCAAGGTAATTAAGATAAAATTATAATTATCTAAATATTTCTAAATGCAATAATAATTAATTTTCAAATAATTATTAAAATTAAATTAAAAAATTAAAATTAAATTAAAAATCTAGAATTAAAATAATTGAACAAATATTAATTTTAATTTACTTTGCTTTTTTTCAATTAAAGGTGAATGGTTTGGCAAAAAACGAAAATGTTTACGTAGTGGGTAATGTACCCGAATTAGGAACTTGGAATCACATTGAAGCTGTTCAGCTTCAATCAGAAAAAAATAGTAATTCAAATTCGCCAGTTTTATTCGATAATAATGATGGGGGATCAGGAGATGTATTTGATGATCAAAATGCCTCGCGAGAAAATTTAGTTAACGAACCTGATGAGTAAGTATTTTTATTTTTTTTTCTTTATATGATCAAAAAACGAAGGAAGAAGATTTTTCAGATTTATTATAATTTAAAATTTTTTTCTTTTTCTTTATAGAGGACAAATATTTTCACAAAACATTGAATTGCCAACCGATGTTAATGTGGAATTTCGTTATTTTATTGCCGTTGTTTGCCAATTAAATGAAATTAAAAATCCAACACAGACGCTTATTATTCGAAAATGGGAAACACATATGACGCCTAGACTCATTAAAAAAGACAGTTAGTAGATTTAAAAAAAAAAAAAAATTGGAAAAAATTAAATTTTCCATTTGAATTTATAAAATGAATTTCTCAATTTTAGAAGTTAGCAACATAGAAGAAAATTCCTTGCCAGAGCCAGAACAATTTGGCTACAATAATGGATATTTTAAAATTGAAAACGGTTGGCTTACCGAAGAAACTGTAATACAATTTAAAATATTTAATAATCCAATTAAACTTTGGAAAAATCGTTTGCAAAATAGAAAAGTTCACATCAAAGTACGTGAAAATTGGTTACAGTTTTGGAAATAGAAAAAAAAGTAAAATTAAAATTAATCTGTAATTTCTCATTTGTAGATGACACCTGTTAATTTGGTGAGACATAATTCTATCGAGATGCCACAATTGGGTGGTGATTGTGTGGACGACAGTCTTTCCATGGATACACAAGATATTGTGGATCATCCTGCTTTCAGTATTACGGAAATTGCTGTATGATTATTATTACTATTATTATTATTATTATTAATCCTAGAAAGTACAACATAGCTGGCTCATACGTAGAAGTACAATTGGGGTAGAAAACTACCCCAACATTTTTTTGTTTCTAGAATGTTCATAATTAACACAAAAAAAATTAATTACAGTAAATCCTCGTTAGCAAGGACCCGCTTAATACAAATTTTGCTTTATCATGAACAACAGCCGTAGTCTGAATTTTCTCTGGGGTACTTTCGTACCCCAGTTCTGGCCTCGGATCGACTTAAAGGCACAAAAAAAGTCTTTTTAGACGATTTATATTCTAAAAATAGTCGAAAAAGTCGATTTTTTTTATTTTAACAAAAACATTTTACAGATTTTTAAATAATTTTTTTTTTAAATAATAATACTTTTGGAAGGGTTAAAGTTGAAATTTTTAGAAATAATTGAATTTCAAAAGATTTTGTTAATTTTCAGACAATAATTAAATTTTACAGAACTAAAAATAATTTATCAACTAATTTTAGATAATATTTTTTAAATGTAATTAAATTTTCAAAGATTTACAATTGAGATTTTTGAAATTAATTGAACTTCAAGTGATTTTTAATTAAAAATTTTTTTTTCTTTTAACTAAAAAATTTAATAGAAACTGCAGACAAAAATAAAATAATTTGAAAACCATTTTTAATTGAAAAATGGTTTCAGATAGTTGAATTTTCAAAGAATATTATAAAAATAGTTAAAAATAATTGAATTTCCTTAGAGTTATAATTGAATTAGTTAAATTTCAAAAAATTTTAGAAATAATTAAATTTTAGAAGCTTTTAAATTCAAATTTTTGAAAATAATTGAATTATAATTGAAATTTTTTATAATAATTCAATTTTAGTTGATTTTTGATTGAAAATTTTGAAAATAATTGAACTTTCTTTGATTTTGAATTGAAATTTTGGGAAATAATTGAATTTTAATTGAAAATTTTGATAATAATTAATTTTGAATTGAAATTTTGGATAATTATTGAATTTTAATTGATTTTGAATTGAAATTTTGGGTAATAATTGAATTTTATTTGATTTTAAATTGAAAATTTGGAAAATAATTGAATTTTAAAAGATTTTGAATTGAAATTTTGGAAAATAATGAAATATTATTTGATTTTAAATTGAAAATTTTTGGGAAATAATTGAATTGTAATTGAAATGTTGGATAATAATTTAATTTAAGTTCATTTTTGATTGAAAATTTGGATAATTAATTTTGAATAGAAATTTTAGAAAATAATTGAATTTTATTTCATTTTAAATTGAAAACTTGGTAAATAATTAAATTTTAAATTGAAAATTTTGGAGAATTATTGGATTTTTAATTGATTTTGAATTAAAATTTCGGGTAATAATTGAATTTTAGTTAATTTTGAATTGAAAATTTTAATAATAAATAATTTTGAGTTGAAATTTTTAAGAATAATTGAATTTTAGTTCTTTTTTAATTGAAAATTTTGAAAATAATTGAATTTTCTTTAATTTTGAATTGAAATTTTGGGAAATAATTGAATTTTAATTGAAATTTTGTTGGAAAATTTTGATAATAATTAATTTTGAATTGAAATTTTGGATAATTATTGAATTTCAATTGATTTTGAATTGTAATTTTGGGTAATAATTGAATTTTATTTGATTTTAAATTGAAAATTTGGAAAATAATTGAATTTTAAAAGATTTTGAATTGAAATTTTGAAAAATAATTGAATTTCAATTGAAATGTTGGATTTTTTATTGAAAATTTTGATAATAATTAATTTTGAATTTAAATTTTGGTTAATAATTGAATTTTAGCTGATTTTTAATTGAAATGTTTGAAAATAATTCAATTTTATTTGATTTTGAATTAAAATTTTTTTGTAATTTTATTTGATTTTTTTTAAATTATAAATAATTGTTAAATTTTATAAAAATTTTAATTTGAAAAATAATTTGAAATTATTGAATTTGTGATGAATTTCATTAAAATTATTAAAAATAATTAATTTAGTGAAGAATTTTAGTTAAAAATTTGTTAAATAATTGAAATAAATGAGATCTGAAGAAGATCTGCATTTTATACACTACCGTCCGAAATTGTGCGAACTCTGCTTTTTCAACAATTATAAAACTGTTCAAATCTTCAAAAATATTAAAACTAGAATTTTTTCCTCTTTATTTTATTAAAGTTAATAAAATCCTGAAAGAAATGACACCTTGACAAAGAGAATATGTTAATTTTTCAATTAGATATCTAAGAAAAATCCAATTTTCAATGTTTTTACTATTTTTTTTATTTCTCTGGCAAAAATTAATATTTTTAAACGTTCTTAGGCTCATTGAAATCGTATTTTGTTATGCAATTCAAATTATATAAAACAATTCATGTACACATTCTTCTTTAGCGTATGCAAACCGTGAAAGTTGGCTCATAAAATGTCAAAAAATTTAAATTTAATTCTACAATAAAATATAATGTTTAAAAATCAAGTAAATATACCATTCTAAACTTCTATAATTTATGTAAGTAAATTTAAGATTTATACATTTTACTGATCATTTTTTGTCATATAAATATTAATAATAATTTTTTGACATTTTATGAGCCAACTTTCACGGTTTGCATACGCTAGGGAAGAATGTGTACATGAATTGTTTTATATAATTTGAATTGCATAACAAAATACGATTTCAATGAGCCTAAGAACGTTTAAAAATATTAATTTTTGCCAGAGAAATAAAAAAAATAGTAAAAACATTGAAAATTGGGTTTTTCTTAGATATCTAATTGAAAAATTAACATATTCTCTTTGTCAAGATGTCATTTCTTTCAGAATTTTATTAACTTTAATAAAATAAAGAGGAAAAAATTTTAGTTTTAATATTTTTGAAGATTTGAACAGTTTTATAATTGTTGAAAAAGCAGAGTTCGCACAATTTCGGACGGTAGTGTACTAAAAAAAATATATATTTTATTTAAAAAACTTTTTTAAAAATGTAAAAAAAAGTTGAAATAGTCGCATTTTATTAAAATAAGTCAAAAAAAGTCGTATTTTTGAAAAAAAGTCGGAAATAGTCGAAAAAGTCGTATAACCCGAGTCCTGCCAGTTGTACTGTCTTGGTTTTAAATTATTTTAAAAATTATTTTATTATTTTCATTATTTTTTTTTAAAAGAAAAAATAAGCAAACATTAAACTAAAATAAATTCTCAATTTAGGTGATGAATGATGAAGAAGCTCACTTCAAGTATCAAGCACAGTTTGGTCGCGAGTACAATGAAGACGATTTTGTAATATTCAATGTGGCTGTTCGTTATCCCGAGACTATTGTAAGTAAATATATATATCGAATGTCACAGTAATGTAGATACACAGCTCATTGAATTGCCAAATAATTGCTATTTATTGCTTCATTAATTTTTCTTCACAAAAACTGTGTATCGAAATTATTGTGTGGATGAGAAATTTTCATATTTTGCCTTCCTCGCATCCATACTGAATAATCATCAATTCACTATTAAAATATAATCTAGAAATAACAATTATTTAAAAAATTGTTATTAAAAAAAAGTAATAGGATCGTTATTATGGCAGAGCAATAAATAACAAATAAGTGGCGATTCATAATAATAATAATAATAATAAAGAAAAAAAGAAACACTATTTTGCAAAAAGAAATGCGCATTGACCAAATCCTGAGTTTTCAGTAGACGACGACTGTAGGCCGGCCACGTCTTTTCATTGTTTTGTGTAACAATATTACTATTTGTAAAAATTTATTAAACTTGTTCAGCAGTTATTGCCTCCTTGGATAATGAGAATGATGAGGATCATTGGAAGATGACAACAACAACAACGACAAACAACAAGGGTTATACAAATACAAGACTGGTGTGCAATAAAAAAAATAACCACGATGCTAAAACAATGAAATCTGATGTTATCGATGCGCTAAAAAAAAGCATTGTCTACTACTTAACATCTGTGTCACATGACTTCACCTGAGATTTTGATGGTTTTGATTGTGTCGTTCATCCAACAATCCCATCCTTAATATGGCCGAAATTCTCACTGAATCAAAATTTCAATTTTCTTTTTTAACAAAAAAAAATCCCATCAAGGAATCTAGTAAAAAAAGAGAGAATTCTGCGAGATTTCCTGCCGTTCCCTGAAATTTGTTCCCTTTGAAAAAAATTAGCGATATATATCAACACTGTCACATCTCGATTACGTCTCTGTGCGTCGAAAATGGTGAGATTCCCATCAGTCCTTTTTATTTAGTGTTATCACTATTATTTTCTAGCTCTAATCAACTTTCCTGAATCTGCTGTGCACAGCCAAATGCCGAAACTTCTCAATCTGAATTTAATTGGAAATTAATAATGAAAATGATTGGCAGGTGTTGCGGGCAACGCGTTACACCAAGCAGTAGAAAAAAAGAGTATTTTTGGCAATAAAAAAAAAATTGGTCATTGGTTCATTGCTAGAATTTTCTTTTTTTTTAATAAGCGATGTAGGAAATAAATTATTTTTCGTTACAAATTTTGTCAGTAGAAATATTTATTGCTTTTGCCATATTAACGATTTAGACAAAAACGAGATATAGTTTAGTTCCTACTTTTTTTTTTAGCTCAGTATAAAAAAAAATGATCAAAGATCGTGTTATCGATGCGTTATCTGCAATAAAAATATACAGATCACGCTTCTGTGGCACTTGAATTCAATAAATCTTTGATCACTGAGTTTGGTTAATGTTTTTTTTTTTTTTTTGACATAAAAAGTCTTGATGAACTGAATTTTAATTGTTGTGAAAATTTATCACCATTTTTTTTCTAATTTTTTTTGCCTAATTAGTTTTGTTTTTCACAGGCATATTTAGTGGATTACTATGTGTATAGTTCAAGATCTACTCCTGATGAGCCACCAAATCACATTGGCTTCAGCTACATTTTGCCATCAACTTTACAATCTAGCGTTGGAATTATTACTGTACCGATAACTAGTACAAAACACAGACCAATTGGTTAGTATAAATATTCATAAAAAATTTTCTAATTCAATAATTATTTAAATTTCTAAAATTATTGAAGGCACTGTTTCTATGTGACGGACGAAATTTTAGGCTTCTTTCAGGAATTTTTTTTTTTCAAAAAATAACTTTTTGTTATGTTACATCCTAAGATGCACAAAGCAAAGAAATTAAATTAATTGTTTTTAAGTCAGGAACGCATTGTCCTCTAACTTGGGAATAGTTTTGAATTTGAATCTTCTTTTGGAAAAATAAGGAAATTGGAATTATATGGATTAAATTTTGTCGATACAACTAAAATTGAATCGGCAAAATTTGGAAAAGGTCCTATCAAAAATGTGATGTTGATAGTATGGGTCCAACTTAAATTGTACCAATACCATCAGGGAAAAGAAAATAGAAATAGAAAAGAAAAAAATAAATTTTATTATTATTTCACTTACTTTTTATTGATGGTTGTTTTTTTTTATAGTATGATGTTGAATATTAGTTTTTCCTTTCCTTGAATATATTCTTTTTTTTTATATTAATAATAATTTTTATTAATGAAATTCCTTAAAATTGAGGGTTTGATAATATTGGATACTTGAAGAATATTTTTTTTTACACTTGAATTTTATGTACTTGAAAATAAAAAAAAGGTTTGAACTGAATTGAAGAAATTTTTTTACTGACTTCTAATGGGACTTCCCTTGGTTTTTAAAGGGAATGATTCCCACTCCACTTTTTAGATAAAGATAATGTTTATCAGACCCATTTTTGGGGACTTGAATTTATAAAAAGAATATATTCTAGAAAAGGAAAAGATTTTAATTTTAACAATTTTTATAACAATATTTTAATTATAATTTATTCAAAACAATTTTTTTATTTAATAAAACTAATTATTATAAATAAAGGTAAAAATAAAATTTTTTATTTCGCATTTCCAATTTAACATTATTGAATACCTATTTATTAATTGATAACTAATAAATTAATATTTATCAATTAACAATTAACTAATTTTACATATAATAAAGAAAAATAATAAAAAAAATACAAAGGTATCATTCAACATTCGTACATTGCCCTCTTGCACACGCTACGGACCCTCTTAGATATTTTATCTAATAGTACAAGGGTTGGGAGTTTGAAACCTTTGAGAATGTGACTAATCAAAAGTAGGCAACTACTGTTGATTTTTAGGCTTAAGATATGTATACATATGTAAAATTTGAGAAAAACATCTTATTAACTTTATTTAATTTTCTCATAACTATGTATTACAAGTCTTTATCGAGAAAATGATAAAAACTAGATACAAGAAGAAAAATAAAATGCCTTTCTCATATTTCACATAAAAAAGTAAATAAGTAAAAGAAATAAAAAAAATTAAAATAATTAAAATATTGTAGGATATAACAGTTAAATTGGCGAGCTTTTGAAATTACTAGTCGATTTTTCGAACAAAAAATCGGTACTTTTTCGTCCCTAATAACAAAAAATAATCAATTTTATGAAACCACATAGGAATAGGGCTTCAGAAAAAACATTAAAAAAAGAACCTTTTTCTTTTTTTTTAGGACAACTAACTGTGGAATATGTAAGAATAAGGCCAATTGCAGATCAAACTTGGGACATGAGTATTTCCTATGCTAAACATTGGGAAGAAAGATGGTCTGGTTTAGATGTTGGTCACAGGGGTTTAGGAACATCATTTAAATTTGAAATGAAGAAGTAATAATTAGTTGAAATTAAAATTCTTAGCAATTAATTGAAAAATTTAAATAAAATTTTTATGAAAAAAATAATTTTTTAACTATAGTTGCGCAAACGTACGTGAAAATACAATTGCATCTTTAAAAACTGCTGCCTATCATGGTGCCGATATGGTGGAATTTGATGTACAATTATCTAAGGATTTTATTCCTGTTATCTATCATGATTTTCATGTATCAATTTCATTAAAACGAAAAAAACAAATAGAGGCAATGGATATGTTGGAAATACCCGTCAAGGATCTCACATTGGAACAATTACATCTTCTTAAAGTAAATATATATAAAAATTTAATCGAAAATTAAAATATGAATTACAAAATTACGAAAGCATCTAATTTTAATAGTTTCGTAATTTGTTTCAAGTAAAAAATTTATTTATTATTATTTTTTTTTAATTGAATAAATGTGGTAATTTTAAAGGATTTTTGTTATCCTGGTGATTCATTGGGTAAAGTGCTACATTACATAGATAAAGATGAACAGAATAATAATCAAATGGTGAGCCGTATCGCTTTTGCAAATTTTTTTTTTCCAATCCAACTTATTGTTAATAATTTAATTTCTTGCATGATCTTTTTCTTTTAATATTGTTTATTTAAAAAAAGTTTTGTTTTACCCAATTCCTTTATAAATTAAAATTATTCAAAAATAAGACGAAATAAAAGTAATGTTGAACACCAAAAAAAAATATTAATTTGCATATAATAACTTTTCATTGTTCTTTTAACTCTATAAAGTTTTTGATGGAAAAAATATTTGCAAATATTTTTAAGAATTCAGATTAATTTTAAAATTTTAGCAAACAAATAATAATTAAATAAATATAAATAAATGATTTTTACCTTCGTCTTTTATGGAGTTAATAAACGGTTTTTGTTTTCGTTTTCTTTTGTGGATTTCAAAGGTATATTTTTTAAACATCGGAGAAAAATAAGAATTTTTATTTTAGGTTTATCACTTGGCGGAAGCTCGAGAAAAAACTGCTAAATTTTTCGATGAAGATCTTGAAGATCATCAACCATTTCCAACGCTTAAATCTGTACTTCAAGTACTTGAACAACACGTTGGTTGTAATATTGAAATAAAATGGACAATGCAATTGAAGGTACTAATAAAATAATAGAAGAAAATAAAAATAAAATAATAATATTAACATTAATAAAAAAAACTATTTTTCAGGATGGTACTTTTGAATTGAATCATCCATTTGATTTGAATGAATATTTGGATATAATTCTTAAAGTAGTCCTTGAATATGGTTGCGATAGAAAAATTGTCTTTTCAGCATTTAATCCTGATATTTGTGCAATGATAAGACTCAAACAAAATAAATATCCCGTTGTTTTTTTAACGCAAGGTGTAACTGCTAAATATCCAATGTATCATGATACAAGATGTCAATCAATACCAATGGCTATGAGACATGCATTAGCAGCTGATATATTAGGAATTAATGTACATACAGAAGATATTTTACGCGATCCTACTCAAGTAAAATTAGTTAGAGACGCTGGTCTTATTATTTTCTGTTGGGGTGAGGATAACAATGATAAAGTCACTATTCAACATTTGAAAACACTTGGTCTACACGGCGTCATTTACGATAAGTATGTTTTTTTTTAATTTTTTCAATTAATTATTTTTAAGGGGGAGTACACCAATTATAACGCGAAAAAAATGTGGCTATTTTTTCAGGATTTTATTGTACATTTATCGAAGTGTAAAAAAATAATTATTATTTAATTTCAATGGTGTTTTGCGGCGCTGCAGCCGATTTCCGTAAACTCGTTCTTGGCGGGAAGACACTGCTAAAAACCTACAGTTTAAGAAAATGAAAAAAAATCGATTTTTCGAAAGTTACAATTGGTGTACCCTCCTTAATTCACTGACAATTAATTACAAAAGAAAATCTTTTTCTACCTTGTCAATTTTGAATTTAAAATATTTTTTACAGAATTGACGAATATAATGCGAAGGAAGTGAAAGAAAGTATATTTTTAGTTGACGCTAGAGAAAGTCAAAAAGCATTAATTGCTTTAGCAAGTTGTACCCAAACTTGCGGACCACCACAATCTACAATGCCCGGATCAATTAATTCTGAAAATGTAATTTTTTCTATTTTCCCTTTACATTTTTTTTTTTAATCATCATTCATTAATTTTTTCTCATTACAGAAACAAGAGCAAGACAAGGAGATTGGAGATTTGGCAAAAAATTTAAGCGTTTGTGCAAAAACTTTTGGTCAAACGATAAAAACGAAAAGTACAGAAATTGTCGGCAAACAAACAAGTGGTATTGGTGAAATTTATACAGATGATGATACAGCTAAAGATTGTCTTTGATGTTTAACGTTTCAAAATTTGTTATTTTAGTACAAGGTATTTTTTTCTTTTTTTTTAATTAAAAAATAAGTTGAGGATTCAATGGAGACAAAATGAATCAATAACTAGTTTTACAATATTTTTTTTTCCGAAATAATTAAATTATCATAAATGATTAAAAGTGCGATTAAATTTTGAAAATTGTTTTGTACAAACTTTTGTTTTAATAAGAAAAAAACAATTTATATTTTCCATTTAAAAAAACACAAGTTGTAAATATTTTGTTTTCATTGATAAAGAAACTTTTTAGCAAATAATTATTAGATTGAAATTACGGTGAAGGATTCTATATTTTTAAGATAATTAATATTCTGATTTAAAATTTTTAAAAATAATTTTTAAATCAAAAGTAGAAAGTCTAGTTTTTTGTTATAATTTACAATACAATAAATTATAAATTAAAACAATTACAACTTTGTCTTCTAAAAAAATAAACTACTTTTGATAATAAGAATTAAAAAAAACTTAAATTTCGTTTAAATGCATTTTAAGACACTTTTTTTTAATATCTCAATTGTAATTATTGTTAACACAAAAAAATTTTTTAATCTGTCCAATGTAAAATAACTGCAACTAATCATATGCTTTAATCTCTTTAGAATAAATTTTACTAAAGAGTATAAAATTGTTAGTTCATTGAAAAAAAGACGATTGTATCAATCGTTTAAAAGTAAGGTGATTTCTTGTATGTATTTTAGCACCGACAAAATTTTTTTATAAAATTACTATGAAGCATTTCACAAAATATGCAAAATTTCTGAGGTTATTAAAAATATAATTAAGTTCAACTGAAAAAGTAATTTTGCTTTTTAAAATTTCATTACGTTAGATTTATTGAATTATTTACTGATAACATTTATTATTGTACTAGATTCATTTATGCTCATTATAAAAATCTATGAATTTAATTATAAAAATTAAAAACTAATAAACGTATATTTATAAAAACTATATTTTTTATTTGAATTTTAAAAACTAAAAAGATTTTTTTAAAATTAATTTTTTTAACTTATCCTGTGGGAAAAAGCGTGAGGGAAATTTTATACAACGAGGGAAATTAATTATTTTTAGAAAACATATTTAGGACAAACCCTCTTTTGCGCTTAACTAAGAGAGAGAGAGATAGAACTAGCAATACAAGACAATAAAATTTTATAGTCTCTCCTACGAATACTTGATATAAAAGGGCTACATTTTTACGGAGAGTTCAGTTCAGAACTTTTCACCATACACGTTACTTCTACTTCATATTTGGTACCAGTTCAGAAATTGTCACCGAAACCGCTAGTTCAGTTCATATTTTGGTATCAGCACGTCTTCGTCACATACGAAATCTAGTACAAGCATTGCTACTCTACTCGATTTCATACTCAAGTTCGACTTAGAAGAATCTCTGTGTCAAGTGTTAAAAGTTTCTACATCAAGAAGAGCTCATTCAAGTATTCAAGGATTTGACTTCCCATAATATTTGGAAATCATTTTTTTCTTTCTTTTCTGGAAAAATTTAACTGTTTGTGTTTCATTACGGTCAACTGAACTCCGGACCTGTGGTCGTCACCAAGGCCCGTCAATTTTCCTGTAAGCTCTTAAACTATATCTGGTACCAGAAGTTCCTATCATAATTAGAACACAGCAGTGGTCCTTTTTCATACATCTTACATCTAAATTTTCAAGGTAAATTGTAATACTTTTTATCTAAATCCTTCCTAACTCCTTATAAAAATTTGTAGTAACCTTTACATTCCTTGTTGCAGTGGAATGCTGACTTCCCCTTATTTCAAGAATGGTTGCTTCAGGATACTCTCTCTCAAAGATCAATTTTATAACTCTAAAAGTTTGTCCTAATAAATTTGTCACTTGTCATTAAAAATCACTATTCTTTCCTGTACCCTTAGCTCAGAGCCTTCTGCTCTGTAAATGAAACAGGAATTCACTGAATCACCGAGCGGCCAAAAATAAAATATTATTTCGTTAGTTATTTCTCTATTTCAGACGTAACATAAGTTTTAAAAAATTCTATTTAAACAAATTTTTTTAAGTTCATTAAATTAACATAAATTAATAAATTAAATTAACTTTAAAGGATTAATAATATTTAATATTACTTATCGGAAATAATAATTAAAATAATAAAAATGAACAATTTAGTCAGTAATGAGTTATACCGAAAATTATTGTTTTTTTAGTTGATTATGTAAGTTTACATTTATTTGTAATTTTCAATATTAATTACATCTGCCACCAGGGTAACATGAAGGGTCCTCAAAATTGTTGTTACATCTGGTCATTTTTTCGACTTTATTTCTTTTTTACTCTATATTTAATTTTTCCGCGTTTCTTATTTTCTTAAGAAAAAAACAACATCTGTTTATTTAAAAAATCATGTTATTTCTTCTTATTCACCGACTCATAATGTATCTGTTTTTTCTCTTTTAAAAGTAGATAATGAAGCGTGAAATCTTAGTGGACGACATATACAGAATGCACTTTTTCCAAAAATCTAAGAAACCGAAACATCCGTAAGCAATAAAATTATAAAATACAACCATAAAAATCTTTTCTAAACTCTACAAGTGCATCCTCCAGATGTCGACCGCTGAGGTCCTTTTCCTTTCATTTTCGTTTTTCTTACGACAGGTCCGAGAGTCCCTGTCGCCAAGATATCCTTCTGTTTGTAATAAAATTTGTCTAGGTTCCGAAAATATATATTATACTGAAATTCACACACATATAAATTTTTAATAACAATTAACTTTAATAATTAATTTCATTATTATTATTAATAAATAATTAAAATGTTATTTTTTTACAATTTATATTAAATTTTAATAAAAACTAATAATTGTCAAAATGTATAATTAATTATTGTTTAAAATTATTAATATAAGTAACATTAATAATAAAAATTATAAAAAATATAAAATTAATAAATAAACAATTAAAATTTAATACAATTTAACAATAATTAAATTATATTGATATTTAACAATAAATAATTATAAATAATTAAAATTTTAAATAATTTCGACTTTTATAAAAAAATTAGGTTAAATTACTTTATAAATTAATAAAAAATAATTATTATTATTAAAAATTATAAACAAATTAAATTTATAAATTGTATCTTTCTTAAAAATCATCGTACAATTAAAATTCAAAAAGGAATATGTAAAATAAATTAAATAATAATTGTTAATAATAAATAATATTAATAATAATCATTGTTAATAATAAAAATTTATCTTAATTGTAAAAGATGCAAAATATGGATGATCTTCCCTTCTTTAAAGAATGTATCCCTACTTTTGGAAATCTGTGTCTCTGAAGGACAACCCACACGTTCGAACCAACCCTAAGGGTTGGGTCAGTGGGGCCCAATAGGGAGAAAATGTAAATGAGTTTTCTCCATTTTTTCTTTCGAGTTTTTACCATTTTCTTTGAGAAACTCCAATAGTAAGTTTTCTCAACTCCCTTTTTCTCTTCGCCTACAAGATATTTCCCTTTCTACAAAAAATCTCTCCCTTCTTCAAAATCTACCCCAAAAACTCAAAATTAGTAGTGGGGACAAACCTTTAAAAACGTATGTTTCCCTAAAATCTTCAGTTATTCAACATTCAAAATTTCTATTAACAAACTCTAAGAAGTCATTTTCAAATTCTTTCAACATTATAAGTTTCCAAAATTTAAAATTATTTTACAAATTATAAAATTCCAATTTCTCTGATTAAAAAGTTATTCTGAAAAATTTTACATTCAGTGACAAGTTATTTTCAAAGTTATTTTCTGAATTTAAAATCTTGTTAAATTCAATTCTTCAATTTCAACATCCAATTCTACGAGTTCCTGTTATTTTGATTGCTGTCCAAACAACCTATCTTTGAATTCTAAGGACGTTCTCCTAATTTTGCATCTTTAGGAAATCTATTATTTGAAAAATAAAAAAAGTAAGTTTATATTTAAATTCTATTATTTCTTTCTTTTCTTAATCTTATCCATCTCTCAATTCCGATAAATTTCGTGCTATGGTGCGCGATATTTTATCAAATTCCAAAATTATAAATTTTTATTTTTTCATAATTATTGAAAACCTTTCCGAGAAATTTTAGTGCTACCAGTGCGCAATTATTTTCTCAATTCCTTTTAAAATCATTTCCTAACCTTCTAAACATTTTTATTTTCTCAACAAGAAATCCAATCGAAAAGATTCCTAAGTTGTTGGACGAAAGTCTAGACTTAAAAATTAAACAATTATTATTAAATTAATTATGTTATATCTCCGGATGTAACATTGTGTTTTGTTCACAATGGAGTCGACGTTGAAAAGGGGTAAGCCTTTTTTAATTTTTAATAATTATAAATTTCATTTTCATAAATCTTATGCTGCCGGTAAATAAAGTAGGATTTATTTGGTAAAAACTCGCAAAGCTTTTTTGCGTACTTCTTGTAATTTACTGAAATAGTTTCTGATAATTCTTTTTTAGAACATTTAAATAACCATTCGCCAATGAATAATATAATATATTTTAAAAATATTATTTCTTGACCCTCAGTCAAATGGAATAAATTTTGCTACTGAAAGAAATTAAAATTTTCTCGTATCTTCGGAGACAGTTTATATTGACAGATCTTTTGATTATGCAACCCCTTTTTTTAAACAAATTTTTACTATATTCCGCTAACTTTTTTTTGCTGAAACATAAACGTGGAGCTATATACATTGATTACTTAAAAAAATATTGTTTGTTATGTGAAGTAAAAGGTTTTTTTAATCCTTCCGCGGTTGTTGTAGATTTTGAAACGGCAATTCATAATGCTATAAAAAATGGTTGTTAGTTTTAAATGCAATAGTATTGATTGATATTTATAGATGTATTCAAAAATTTTAACTGATCGACTTTCTTATATAAACTATGACGTTCTCTATCATTATAAAAAGTGTGTGAATTGATAGAAATAAATTTATTTAGCGTAACGCAGAGAAAGCGTTATTTGGGATAATAGATCATGCTCCGCTGCTTCTGGAACCACTGTCTTACCAGTTACGCTTTAATCTAACTTAGTTTTTTCCAAACTTCAATTTTCCATATCGATGACAAATATAAATTCGTCTATTATTGTTATTTTAAGACCAGTATATTACAGTTGCTGCGATAAAAGTATTCATTACATTCACTGTATGCAAAAGTTTATCGATTAACATGTTTAAATATAATTTTAAAGAATAGTGAAGAGTGAGAAACAAAAAATAAAAACAAAGTAGTTACATTATTAGTGAATTTTGTGTAAAAACTTTTTTTATTTATTGTTAAAAAAGAGATAAGAAAATATTTAGTGAGTTGTTCAAATATCCTTGCTGTTGTATTTATAATAATATATTTATACAAAAAACATGTCAAAAGTGATATTATTTTTATTCGTCACTCACGTTTGCTGCAAAAATTACTTAAAACAAATAAATCAAGAGAAACTAAATCCAGTTAGTGATACAATTTCCAACAGTTCAAATACATATACTCCAAAAGAAAGTCATAAAAAGCAATATAAAGAGTCACGTAGTGTCAATCCTTATATATTGGACAGTAAAGAAAATTTTACGGATTTAGTTTCTGAAAAAAAGGCAAAACTTCCTATTCGGTTAGAAGGGACATTTGTTCCTACAAAATTATATGCTCAAGTCAGAGCATCCGATGTTATAGAGCGAGTGCCACGTAGAGAGATTCTTGATGAATCAGAAGAAAGTAAAGAAAATGCTGCACATTTAAAAGAGGTAATTACAAATAAAAAAATTGCAACAATTTATACCGAAGAAGGTTATGAAGATTCTGCATATGATCATGGAGGACGTTTAAAAAATGCAAATTTTGATGAGAATTATGCAAAAAAATTTCATAAGAAGCATAATAAAAAGAAAGCCGCTAGTTCTAATATGAAAAATACCCATCAAAATTCTTTAGATGCAGACAATTATTCAAATATTTACAAGAAAAATCCAAAAACATTGAAAATTATACCAAAATCTGCGAATAATAGAAAAAGAAACGCTAAACATAAAAAGAACAAAAATTTAGGCAGAAATATTAGAAAGAAATTTTTAAAATCAAAAATAAATCCCAAGTTTTTAGTCCAACAGGGAATAAAGCAACTGGAAAGAAATATTGAATATATCGATACTGAAAGCGAAAGACCAAAAAATAAAAGATTATCCGAAGTGAAAGGGATTCGTAACTTAAACGAAAGTAGTTTAAAACAGAATCATTCACCCATAAAGTCAAAGAAACTTTCGAAATCTTGGAATTTAAAATATAACAATTCTGACAACTCAAAAGAAGCCTTACACTTAGAACCTGAAATTAAACATACTTTCAGAAAAAAATCAGGAAAACAATTAAACAGTGAGTTACAAAAATCTGATATAAATCATTCAGCACTTGGAAGAAATAGATATGATAAAAATGGTCACATCCTTTATATAAATCCAAACACTTCAAAAATGGTGGAAAGTTTTGCAGAACCTTCTAATTTAGAACCAAGCACTAATTCTAATAAATATTACAAAGTTGCCACATTGAAAAAAGTATCAAGTGAAACTCCCGTGATCTCTAATTATAGTAATATATATAACGAATTTTTTAAGAAAGACAAAAATTCTACACACTTCAAAGAACTTGAGAAAAAAACTACTGTTAAACCTGATTTATTTTTGTCAAAAATGGTAAATTGGCATTTATTAACAAGACGAAAAAGAAATACATCTTACGCTTCAGATCACTTACAAAATTATGATGCAAAGCCAAGTGATAATGTAAGTTTAGGAGAAAAAGAAATTCCTGATATTATTCAACATCTAGACACATCTTTATTAAATTATTTCGATTTGTTATGTCCTTCTGTTGCATCAGGTGGTGACAAATATTTAAGAAGCAAAAGTTGTGTAAATGAAAAATTTAATTTATATCAAAAACCACCTTCTAATTTGTTGCATTTTTATCCAGTTATGATACTAAATAAAAGTATGAAAGATCAATATTTGATTCGTAGCAAACGAAGTAGAGACATGGAATATAGATATCCTTCAGTTAACAGAAGGTTTGGTAAATCTTTTTCAAAAGTCATTGATAACAAAAACAAATATCCTTTTTATAAAATGTCAAGTAATGGAAAAACAATGACATTAGAATATTTGATGAATCCTCAGCGAATACCTAGAAAAACATTCGGTGGAATGGAATTTTATGACTCTCGCAATTATTTGTCGTGTGATGATGTAGATCCATATGTAAAAAATTTAGATCCAATGAATCAAAATTCTACTGGAAAACAGGAACTAAACATAAATAATTCTAGACTTCCTGGATTGCAAACACAGCTTGATTGTTTAAAAACAAAATATTTTGGTAATAATCCTTTGGATAATCCTCTTTTCTTGGTATCACAAATAGAGCCACCAGTTTTACCATCTGAATTAAATAAAACCAAATTAATGTCTAGCATTACGATATTATAAACAAATTGTAATTAAATTTCTTCTCCTAATGGAAATAATACTCTCTTTATTTCACAAAAACCCAACGGGTTATGGGCTCAAGTGAAAAAATTTCCGTGACAGTAAAAATCGATCTGCTGATTGGTGATAATTACGACACGTAGAAGATTTACATGCGTGCCATTTTGACTTGAAATTAATGGCAACAAATGATTTAGTGTACGGGTTTAAGTTAAACGAAAAGTTGTCAGAGTTTGAAGTTTGTGCGCGAGAAAAATTATTGAGCAAACCGTACCCAAAGAAAAACGAAGAATTGTTGGAAATTGTGCACACAAAATCGTTACTGCTACAAAACGTCCACACAAAGATGCCATTTTAAAATATAATTTATATTTACATATATTGAGACGCGGCATTTTGTTGCGCACAAATAACCTAAAATAATAAAAATTAGTATGTAAACGAAAGTTATTATATTAATAAACCAATTTGCCAAAGTCGTCAGATTAATAGCCAATTTAGAATAAATATCGGTTATGATTTGTCCTTTTGTTTTGTTATGAAAAATTCTCGCGAGGCATTAAGAATTTTTGTCGGATTACAAAGACGTTAAGGACATCACTATCGATCAATTTAAATTGGAAGTCACCAAATAAGAGTTTATTCTCATTCTCATCCTGGTGTTCGTCGAGTTAGTGTCATTCTTTTTTGGTGAAATATTTCAAAATGTAAAGTGTAAAATTCAGACGAGGCGATGATAGTCGTCGTCATTACATAAATTTGGACAGAGAGTTCCGAAAATTAATTAAGGGTCGTTTCCTTCAGATTCGATATCATTGTTATTGAAATATAATTTAGAAAATAAAATATAAATCTTGTCTTTCGGTCTTCTGCAATTTTTTTTTTAAATATTCGGCATATCCGAGTTTGGAGTGAATATAAATAAATAATGTAATTGTTGTGAATTTTGAGTAATTAATGATCTACTTAATTAATGTGATTGATTAATTAATCCTTATCTCCCACTGTAAAATAACAACAGCGTTCCTAAGCTGGTTTTCTATGTAAAAATATAATCTTTTACTTTTTCGGGTTATTTAACTGTTTTCTGGTTTAATTATTTTTCCAAAAAGTAACTTGACTTGTCGATTAGACAAAAAAAATTATTCCATTTTCAAATACATTAATTATTATCAAATGTATCTTACTTCGTTAAATAATAATTTATATCACTGTTTTTCAAAATTTCTTTATTTCAAAGTTTTTCATGTTTTTCTCCTTTTGGATTGCAATAGACTTTCGCTTGCTTACACATTGATATTTGTTTTATCAATTCTCATTTAATAGTTTCTTGAAATAATTTTTTGCTGAAATATATTTACTTTTATTATAATTATTGTTTTATTATGAGTATTTATTTAAAGTACTTTCATTCATTCATTTTAAGTTTACTAATGTTTAAGTAAGTTTTTTCTAATCTAATTTTATCGATATCAAAATATGAATAAATACTTTGAAATTGTGGAATAATATATATTTAAAATTTTTAAAATACCATAAATTAAATACTATTAATAATAATATATTAATATTAATGAAAAATTCTATTTAAAGTTCTTATTGTTAATATTTAAATTGTTTAGAACGAACTCCTCGTTTAATTACTGCATTCCAAAAAAAACTGTTAAATGCAAAACAAAATCGGTTTTTTAAATCATTTTTAGTCGATCAAATAAAACAAAAACTGATCAGCTTGACATGGAACACTCCTCGAATCGTGGCGCCCTAGCAGCTGCATACCCCTAAAACCGGGTCTGGTAAAATATTAAATAAAACTTGCGTGAAATATTATTTAAGGTTTTATCTATCTAATATTTATAGCTCATTACCTGGAATTTATTTTTCAAAAGTTAATTAGAGTCATTAATTAAAAAATTTATTACATAATTGTTTAAAAAATTACTTCAAGAATTGTTTGCAATTAATTAAAGAACAAAATAATGTCGGATAGCGTTCCAATATTCTTCTTATGAATTAAAAAATGCATTCATTACTAATTATCAATAATTTGCAATATACACGCTTACACACAAAAATTTATTCACTTAATCACGGAGTATCAAAAACTATCGCGCATGTATAAGTATCTACATTTTTTTTTAGATGACATGCATAATTACTCCGATATCGATTGGCAGTATGTAACAGGTTTCAGTATTTTGAGTCAGTTTAGTTTAGGTAAATCTCAGGTGCATTTTAATATAAATAATTGCAACTTTTTTTTTAACATACTTTGTTTCCGAGGTGAAATAGAAACCTGTGAATTATATTCTATTGAAATTCAAGTTACAGATTAATTTCGTTCTGTCTTATTAAATAAGAAAAAATGATTAAATACAAAAAAGTATTTAAAATAGAAAATCGGTAATACATTTACATATATATTAACATATTACGAAGGAATTATTTTAAGGGATATTTCCAATACGCAACTTGATTGTATCTCTAATTTTTAGCAAAAAATCAGAGACTTGATTGGCACTTTCATTTCAGGTTTCCATAAACTTTAACTTGCAATTCTTTTCCAGTTTAGAATAATTATAATTTAGATATTTTTTCTATAGTAATTTAATAGTTTCTGTTTCATCTCTTTAAAATTATATGAAATTTCAAACACACTTGAATGATTTTTGATTAGCTTCCCATAATTCTGTTCTTTTTTTTCTCGTTATACTGGATTCAAAATGACATACCTATTAAAACTTTTCCTAGATAGTTTGATGTTAAACATAGAAGAACGTTAATAGAGTTTGACAGCACAATACAATAATGTAATGCCAAATTCTATTTTAAGCTATTAATTACATTCGTCGTTATTTCTATAAATGTAAAATAAATTTAAATACAGTAAGGTAGATTAATAACATAGCGGTATACTTATTAAAAAAAACTTAACATTTTGCTGTCAAAATTAAGCAATTTTTTTTTATAGTCTTTAAATCTAAATCTAGAAAATTTCATTTATTCTTCAACGTATATAAACCGTATCTGGGGAAAGAGTGTTTACAATCATTTCAAGCGAGAAATGAATCTATATTGTTTTTGGAAAATTTTTAATTATTTTTATGGTTCAAATGATTATCAACAATTTAATAATTTAATTATAAGTGAAGAAAATCTAACATCACTTAAGATATGTAAATTAGGTAAAGGAAGACATTCTCATGTTATTTTTTTGTAAAAGAGAAAGAAAAAAAAAGTTATTTTATATTCCTTGGTGTGAGAACGAAAGATTTCCTCTACCTCTTCAGTTTTAGACTTTTATCTGTTTTCCATATGATAAGGAGAGAAAGAAATTATTACCTGGGTCCTTAGAGTTAATCCTCAACAAAGGGTCCAAGGGTTGGTATTGTTTGTGGTAATTCTTCCTGGGGTCTAATACAGGTGTATATATGTATATATTTTCTACCTTCTAATCGAGAAGGTAAGCTTTAAGTTCGTCATACTGTAGAATATTTTCGATACGACACGTCCTACGGTGAATTAACAAATTAATTTATTGAATAAATAAATCCACTTTATGTGAGTGAATACAAAGTAAACTTCGTGAATATATTAAGTAATAAGGGATCCATTTTTGCTTGAAAAAATGAAAATTTTGGTCAAAAAAAATTTTTGTAAAGTACTAGTAATTGAATTAAATTGACAATGCATGAAAAATATTTATTCAATGTACAATGTTTAAATTTTTTTCATTTGTAATTAAATTATTAAATTGTTGATAATCATTTGAACCATAAAATTAAAAGTTGTGATTTTGAACAGACTTTAAATCTCCAGTTACGAACAAAAATAAAGGTTAGTGTATTTCACTTTATCTACAAATGCATTTAACAATTTTTTATTTATTTTTAATTGTATTTCGAAAATCATATTAATAATCAGTGACTCTAAAATCCTTGAAGTAACGAGTTTCAAGCACTTGTAACATCACTATAAACTTATTTATCTTAAATAATTTTTTTTTTTATCGAAAAATTGATTTTGGTCGTAAGCACTGGTTTCCCAGAGGCGGTCCCCATAATAAGCTTATTGTAATCAGTAGCACATGGGGGGAAAATTCATTTACTGTCCAGATCAAAAATTAGAAGTTATTGATAACTTTGGTAAATTGTTGTTCTATACGAGAGTAACCAATCTTTAAAATATTATCTCATTTAAAAAAAATTAGCTAATATTTTAGAAATTTTTTACTCCCATATAGGGCAACAGTTTAAAAAAATTACAAGCCAGTTCAATAAGTTTTTAACTTTTCACTAGAACAGTTCAGGAATATACTTATTGTTGATTCAGATCAAGATTACAGAATGTTTTTACGAAATTCTTTTTCTTAATAATTAATTTCAATTAAATTATCTTAAATGTTACCTTTTCAAGAAATTTTAAGTTTAATTGATAAAAACATATTATTATACTAGTTTAGTTATTAATTAATCAAGCTTACTGTATGAACATACATTTATTACATCATATACTATTTCATTGAATTAATTAAAGATTTCACTGTTTCATCAGACTCTGAATATGCAGTTTTAGTTTATTATCTTGTTTATTTTTTTTATCTAGCAAGGAACATTTGAAATTAAATTGAAATTAAATTCTATTTTTAGTACAAATATTTGGTACAACAAAGCATTGAGCTGTCATAAAATTTCGGCATACTATATAATAGTTCTTTTTATAAATTAATTTATAGATTTATTGTGTTTGTTCATTTACTATACAGTCATTCCAGAAGAACTTGAAAAATATAGTATGATTCAACTAATTATTTAAAAGTGATTTAATTTAACATTTAGGAGTTATACCACAGTAGAATTAAATAAAATCGATTTTTTTTATTTAAATGATCGTTTTAGGATCTTAAAATAAAATATAGTTGGTTTTATATAAACCCGTTATTTACAAACGCTTTCATTAATATTATAAAACATGCTTTATATAGTGCAATATTTATGGACAATAAATCTCTTTATAAGAATTTTTATAATAAACATTCACATTAAAAAAAGAAAAAGATTTAGAAAAATATGGTTCTATATTGTGAAGATATTTTAACGTGTTTTTCTCGAAACCACACTTTTCAAATCCAGTAAATGGCTAACTCAATTATTTTTTTAATTAAAATTTGGAAGTATTTCGAATTTTTTCAATATATTTTAAACTTTTAAAGTTTTGGATATTAACAACTATACCGAAAATTCGAGAGAATTTTTTATTATGAGTTCAAAATATAAATTAATTTTATTTTTTCATGTCAATGTAAGATCCGCACTATCGTAAATGTATTTTAGTGTCTAAAAACACTCATAAAGTGTTTTACACTTTATAATAACATTTACAATTAGTTGAGATGTTTACGCAGTAGTCTGAAAGTAAAATTTACTTTTCATAATCCAGATTACAATTTTTTTTTATAGATGTTGACATTATTATTTTTTTTTTGAAATATCATAAAATTTCTCTAAACGTCATTAAATTTTTATTCCAATTTTTTTATTTAAATTAAAAAGATTGAATGAAAATAAATTAAGCATTTTTCAAGGAGTCAACTTTCACCCAGACAAAAAATTATTTATTTACTTTAAAATTCACCAAAAAAAAATTTGTTTCTATACTTTAAGATACCAATTATAATGTGTAATAAAAGCAATAGAGTTGTAATTTATTTTCATTGAAAAAAAAAAAATTTCTGAAAAAAGCCTAAAATTTTAGCCGTTACATGTGAATAGTGCCTTAAATAAAAAATTTTCTATAATGAAAATTTCAAATCTTGTCTTCAACGAATTATAAATAGTAAATTATCATTTCGGACCATTGTGATGTGGACTCGTCTAATTTCAATATGATTTTTGAATCTGATGAAAGGCATTGTTGCACAATACCAAAATAGCACGTATATTTGCAATGTAAGCTTGTAGTATTAGCGTACCGAATGAATAATGCAGAAAGTTTAAAGAAACAATTGCGCACATAACCTTACACGATCAGCTTGACAAAAAGCAGTCATTTTTATTTTTCACGGCAAGCATACGTACTGTCTGTGTACTGTACAAAAAAAACTAACTTACCGAGTTTGTATGAATCGCTTGCTTTGTGTACTTCATGGTTAATTCGCCACAGATATATCGTACTCTACTGTGGCGTAACCTCTTAATAAAATAAAATATTTATAAAAATTTTATTATTCGTTTATTAAACTGTTTTATGTATATTGTATATAATGGAAAGTGGTATTTACGGTTATTTGGTTTTATTAACATGTTAAAATTTTCCAATTAATTTCGAATTTACAAGCCTTTGATAATAATAATTGTTGATAAAAAAAAACTTAAGGAGGTTCATCCCTTCAAGCGGTACTCATTCTATTAGGGGTTTTCCGTAAGTTTAAAACCGACAGCTATAGTCCATAAAAGTTGAGCTCCACTGGCCAATTTAGAGGTTAATTTGCCGTTTCTCCTCTTCTTTCTTTTATTTACATGGGATAAGTTCAAAAGTTGCTAACTTTGATTAACATTTACTTCACAACCAAACGGTAAAAAAATTTCATATTTTTGTAAAAACTGTTAAAACTCATAATTTAAAACATATTAGTTTTTGAAAAAAATCTGTAGAACCGTTTTTTTTTAATTAATGAAAACATGGTCATTTTTCATATTTTTTCACTGTTCCCATGTAAAACTTCAAACTTTATCAATTTTTATCTTGAAAATGATACGGTAAAATTCAATAAAATTTGAACAACACATGTAAAGTGATGTCAATAATACATCTTAAAAATTTTTAAAAAATCTGTAGAAAATCGATTTTGTTTGAAAAATATGTATTGCAAAACGAAAAGTAATATAATGAGGGGTTCATTACCTCCTGCCGCCGTCAGATGGCAGCAGCATGCAGGGCGCACAAAGTCGCAGCTGTTATTAGATTACTTTTCTACTTTTTGTTTTGCAACCATGTTTTTTTTATGGATTCGTACTGTCTTTTGGATTTAGGAAATTTATAAGATGAGGATTTTGGCTGATTTTGTTAAAAGTGTTCGTGTTTCGAGAAAAAAAGTATTTTAAAATCAATACTATTTCACGTTCAGAGCGATAATTAAAGCTCTCTTCTTGCCAAAGAATTTCAGATACCGTTTGACACTCTTAATGCATAAATAAAAAAACAAAACAGGAAAACTTCCTAGCATCTCGAAATACCATTTACAAAAAGAAAATTACATGTGCATGACAATTTTTTTACTGAACACCCTTCGGCCGAACCGTGTCCCTCTGCCTTACCTTACGCTCAAATCGTGAGATTTTTTTAAATGTACATTTTTAGCTAGAAATTATCCCACTTTACCTTTATGTGATGCTATTCAGTATTTCCGACGATGGATTTTTTTTACTAATCTGATGGACTCTCCTAAACGCACGTTTTGGTAAAAATCGTTAATACTTGGAAGAGATACTTTTTAGGGTACATTTGCTTATGAGCCGTTAACATTTAAATGTTAATAATACCAAATAATCGTAAATATCCCTTTTCATTATTTACAATATTCATAAAAAAAACGTTTAAAAAACTGAAATTTCTTTTTAACTTTTTCAATATATCAACATTATTTAACTATTCCTTTTATGACATTATTTGAAATAGAAAGCAATTTTATAGAATCAATTAGCAGTATTCTAAAATACAATAGATACAAATATTTTACAATATTGTGGAACTCGTATTGGCTATATATATATATATATACCTAGATCAGAACCATTTTTTCAAATAATATTTTATTACTTTAAAAACAATAAATTCTTTTATATTCTTTATGTGAAAGCTCTCATATTTAAAAAATTCCGTTCTAATAATTGACATAATGTCAATATCATAATATGAATACTTAATACGGCCATATTTGATTGGGTTTCAATCTTGAGCATCTCAATTTTTCGGAGATAAACAGACACTCAAACTTCTACACTTATGCCAAGTTCCACTGTGATTTTCCTAGTTTTCTTTTTAATTGAAGTAAATGTTTTTTTTTTTTAAATATGATTACAAATTTAAATTTATACACACTCTTTCCTCTTTTCCTTATAAAAAAATAAAAGTATTTGTTTAATAAATAAGCAAATTAAAATATAAAATTCGTTATATAATATATATGAAAATTGCAATAATTCATTTTGTTTTACAGAATTAAAATACAACAGATTGAAATAATATTCGCAGTTTCTTTAATTTAGGAATTAGATAATTAAAAACTTAACCTTAACAATTTATTTAGTATTGTTATTGATATTATTTTAAAAACTTATCCTTAACAATTTATATAGTATTTACTATTGATATTATTTCGGTTTTAACATATTGAAGACGTCGTATAAAAATTAAGAATACTGAAGACCTTATACTGAGTACCTTGAGAGCCTCTGCGTATATACTAAGCTGCTAATGCAAAGTTATTTAAATTCATGTATTAAAAGTTCCGTTTTCATGGGAGCCATTTGATTATTTTATTGACGATATTGTACAATGTCTATACAAAACATTCGCATTACCTCTCAAGCCTTTTTTTTTAAGAATGAGTAAGTTAATTAAGTTTCTGACAGAAGGATAATTTAAAAACAAATATTTGATAACACTGGAATTTTTACACGCGTCGAGATAATATTAAATAAATTAATTTGAGAACACTTGCTGATATCACTTGCATATGAAACATTCTGATTAACAATTTAAACTTCACGAAAAGATTTCGTAATCATTTTTTTTTTTTTTTTTGACTAGCAGCTTCTGTAACATTACCGATTAGAAAGATTCAGTCTTGCGACATTTTGTTGACGGGAAATTGTCTTTCTGATTTTCTGACACATCCCGACTAATGAATTATTATTTTAAAAATAGGCAGTTCTCTCAAGCACCAACTGAGAGGCCTTTTAAATGCTGTTTGTCACCGGACCAGTGTCTCGGTTTCCACATTGGCTAGCACCAGTCATCTTCGTCACTGTCTGAGTGCTTAGATCTTGTTGTTCTTTGTTTTGTTTGAACAGGTTGTGGTTTATAACCGTTGGGAACAGGACTTGGTAACATGCGTCCTCCGCGACCCATTGCGACAGCCTGTTCAAAACTAAGGGGGCCGTGACCATGTGAAGCATTTGAATTTGAAACATGCTGTGGTCCTGATACATGGATTATGTGTGGTCCATGAGTAGGTGAAGCATTTAGTTTAGGAAAATTAATGTTTGAAGGCTTTAGTTGAAGGGTCGAGGGTTTATTAGGAGTCGGCGGTAATCTTCGTCCCTGACCTCTTCGCATGACAAGCACAGGGTAACTATGCTGATGGGGATGATGATAGTGATGATGAGGATGTCCAGGCGTTCTTTCTTCAATTGGACTAGGACTTCGAGAACGTTGATCTAAACTTGTAGTACCGTAGTGATAATCATAGTCCGTTGGATGCACTGGACTAGGAGATCTTGCTGGACTTGTAGATGCACTCCATGGACCTGATAAAATATAAAGATTATTGTTTTATAATAAACTTTTTGAGTCAGCTCAATTTAGGACACTATCTTTAATTAAATTGGAACTTTATAATCAATACATTTGATTGGGGTGTCTTATCTGCGCATCTGGACACTAGTCTAGACCAAGCACTCTCTTTTTACTTTTTAATTCGCTGATACGATCGCGTGCTGAATATGCACGGATTATTTGGAATCCATATTACAATAAGTATGCATCTGAGATTGAATCATTGTAAAAGAGATTTTTAAAGTATATGGCTTTCAAGGCTGATGGAGTTGTACCCTAAGAGAGGCTGCGATTATTTGGAATTGTGTCAGCGATTTAATTGCTTGACTTTAGAGGAACGCAATCTAATTAATGTTACTACCTTTTTGTTCAAAATTATGTCATCCCAAATAGACTGTCCGTACCTATTAAGTCAAATTTTCTTTAAAATACTTAGATTGTCTGCTAGAACTTATGAGCCTTTTGAAATGTGTTATCCACTGTCGATTGTTAGTATAAATTCACCTATCATATTTGCGTCTAATCATATCAACAAAATGTTTACATTGATGAAACCAGATTTGGATTTATTTTTTTCGAATCATTCGGCGTTTTTGAAATGCTTAAATCAATATATTGAGAGCGTTCGTGAGTAGTTTTACTTATTTGAGATATTTGTGATATTTTATGTTAAACCTTTATCTATTTTTATTTTTGTATATGGAACACTACCATAATTATTTAGTAACCCAATTATGGTCCAATAATGTGACCGCGGGGAAATATGTATAAATAAATAAATAAATACATTAACTCAGTGCCTACTCAGTTGAAAAAAATCTTGTTGAATAGAATACTTTGTGAGGGATGAATATTTAAATGTATCGTCGAAAAAGAAATTATTGAGTCTTATTATTTTTCTCAAATCTCACGTCAAAAAAAAGAGATAAGAAGGAAACAAATTGGATCATCGTCATCATCTTGATTGTAAAATTTATAAATTGCATATCTACATTCTTTTGACTTTAATCAATTGGGCAAAGAAGTTCTCTCATTCGAATTCTGTTAGCTGACGTTGTCTTCTTTCAATAAGCATAATATATAACCAATTAAATGACGGTGAGTGAGAAACAATTTATTTGTGATTGTCTTGTATATAAATTATATAATCTTGGTAGAATTCAATTCATTTGAATCGTCATGCGAACCTGTCAAGAATTTTGTACAATTTTTGGATTTATTTCCATTGTGTTTTATGACATAGTCTTGACAAAATAATATTAGAGGATAATAGAGGAGAGAGTTTTTGAATTATTTATTTCATTTTTGTAACATCTGGATTGAATAATAAACCTATTGAATATAGAATATTATTTGTAAAATATTCTGAGTTATATTTTGAAGTTTCTAAAATGTGTTTTTGTGTTCGAATGTTTGTATGTTCAGCATGTACCCTTCACTCAGGTAATGTTATAAAAAATGGTTGTCAGCCCCAAAAAGCAATTTTACCAAACATTCTCTTTTATTTGTACATCGACAAATTTTTCCACTGCAAACTAAGATAAGGTTAGTACTTGAAGGCTAAGGAACAGTTTCACCAACTCCGGTTAAAAGTTAATCTGCGATTAAAGTCAATTTAACAGCTCATGATTGGTCAGTTAGGGATTTAATCGCTGATTAACTTTTAACCGGAGTTGGTGAAACTGGACCTAAGTACCTTTTCACGTAAAGGACTGATCGCCTCAAGAGTTCAGTTGACTATTATCAGTCTTAGCATTAATATATCTGTAAAGCTACAGATCTGTAACTAACTATTTTATTTAATAAATATATCTTTTTCTGTTAAATAAAGTTCTATTATTTATGAATAAATAATTTTAATAAAACCATTATTATCAACAAAATATTAAAATCGTTCTCTTTTGTCAGCAGCCTCCGAAGAGAGAAGTCGTATTTTGTGTGTGTGCTTAAATTAATTTCAATTATTCAACTTTTATTAAATAGTGATTGTGTTGGCTGTTTATTTATATTGTTCCTCGGCAAGAGAATTTTTCCTAATTAAAAATTCAGCAAAGAATTTGAATTCTTTTTGATTTTCAATTTTTGTCTTTTTGTGATAATATCGTCCATTTTCTTTTATTAAATTGAATTTCCTTTGCTGAAGGAATTTTCTTTGAAGTGTTATATTATTTTACAACATGTTTTGATTATGTATTTTCTCTTTTATTATAAAAACGTGTTATTGACCCTTTTTCCCCATTAATATTTGTTTGTGAAAACTATTAATTTCCCTTCTTTATATATTCTGATCATTTCACAAAAATTCCCTGATTAATTCTTTTTATTATTTATCATGATTTAATCAATTGAATTCGTCTTGGAATTTTGTGACAAGAGTGCACAAGCCTCTTGTATATCGTTTGTTTTGTCTGTCTTCTATTTTAATCCGCCATTTTAATAATTATGTTACAATTAAAAATGTGTAATTAAAGTGAAGTTTACATTTTGTAATTTTGTTGAATTTATTGTAATAATTTAAATTAATTTTTTGTGACAATTCTTGCAGCATTCTTTCGCGAATGCCCCTTCTCTACCGATTTATTTTGAGTAGCCGAGAAAAATCAAGTCGTTGCAATTTATTATTAAATTTTGTTTGTGTTTATTTGATCTGGCGCCCGCGGATAATTTTATTAATTTAAATTTTTATTTATTGGCAACGCCAGTGAAACCTTAAATTTACTTCTATTTAATTAAAATTTGCAAAAAGGGCTACAGTCTGTAAATTTTTATGTTGATCCGGTGAAGAATAATAATAATTCCAATGACAATAGGGGTTCCCCTTTTATCCTCCTCTTAGGAAGAGGAGAATTGGAAGAATTGTTATATGGTCCAGGAATTGACGACTCATTGTAAAATCAAAAAAAAAGTTTCTTCTGAACTAGTAAGGTTTCATGTTGGCCTTATATCAATTAAATTACTTAAGTAATTATTATGACAAATTTTTAAAAAATATTTACCTCTAATTTTATGTCGATGATTATGTTGTGGAAGGTGTGGTTGATGAGAGTGCCTTTGAATTTCTACGACGTTGTTTACAGTATCACTAAAGTGTTGTTGATGACTATGATGATCGTACCTATGTCGTCCAGGTGATGGTGACCTGTGGAAAATTGGCGAATTTCTTCTAAAAATATTTTCAATATACTTAAGAAATATTACATTATGTAGACTTTCAGCTGACTTATGTTTTCATTAATTCTGGTAGTTCAAAATAAATATAAAAATTTTCACAGGAAGATATAATCAATACAAATTAATTTATTTTACAGAATTTAACAAAAGACTTCAAATTATTATTAATTATAATTATATACTTTATTTTATATTTTAATCCTATTTTTTTGAAAAAAGAATATAATAAAAATAAATTGAAATATATAATATGAAAGTGAAATTTGCTTTACTTTTATAATTGACTAAAGTCTTTCTAAAAAAATTAGCAAATCACCCATATAATTCACATAATCTTTTACCTTAAACTTGGAGATCTAGAATGATGTGATGGATGCGTTGAATGGTGAAGATGATGTCTTTCACCCGGATGAGTTAAACTTTCAAGACTGCCACCGCGTGAATCACTAATTACCATATTCTGCAAATCCATCTAAATGAAGAAATAAGTTTAAAAAATTAAATATATAAGGAAATATGTTAGATTTAAAAAATTATGTAAAAGTCTATAGGTTTTGATGCAGTCAACGTATTTTTTTGTTTATATAGTTTCGAAAAAATAATTATTTTTTACCATTATGAATTTGATACAACCTTTTGCCTCAAGACCTAACTTATTGTATTATAATCGTTAAATTTTTTCTTTTAAAAAGTAATACTTTCGGTTTTTTTAATTTCAGTTATTTCATTGCCCTAAAATAATATCATAGGGTAATACATAGTGTAGTTATTTTATAATTACTCATTCGAATAAATACAGAAAAATCCGAACCTTAGAAATCATACCTTATAATTTTCCAAACCTTTAAAACCAACTCTTAAAAATATGAACCTGTAAGCTTATAAACTGTTTAAGTTAAGATCAGTGGTAATGTATGGTATATAAAGAAAAATTAATTTAAATTTCATGCAAGCTAATTGTTAAACGCAAAGCATAGATAAATGTAAAGATTTTTCGCAGAAAAAATATGTCAAACAGAATTGGCTGTATTATAAAAAATGTTGTTTCCGTTTACCCCAAACTCAAAAATTTTAAAGCTATTGTTTAAAAAGTATGAGATCAATTTTTGAATAGGGTAAAAACGGAAATCAATTACTTTTAAATTATAAGTTATAAAACAACTTTTCTTATTTAGAAATATTAGTAGAACAAATGAATGGCTTTTTCAACCGGTTGTTAGCTAACCTAAATGTGCTACGTTTGTGCCTTTAGAATAAAAAATATCGTAAGTAACGTGGGTCCAAAGGCAGCCAATTATTTACGTTGACGTTTGCTAGCACTTATTCACGTTTTGGGCTGCAAACGCAAACAATGGTTGCCTTTAGACCATTGTTAATTAATATACTATTATTTGGACAAAATTATGCCTACAGCTTAACGGAAAGGACAATAGGGATCGTTAATAAAGCTGCTCTCACATTGAGCAGACTTACTGAAGATCTCAGAAATTAGTTTTGGACAAGACAGAATGGTCAAAATGGAGAAATTCAATGCTCGCTTCAAGACAATTATTCCTTTGAGAAAGGATTGGGAAAAAGGCTATCCACTTAAAGGTGAAGTATGGTATATGATAGTTAGGCGGCTTTGAACGCCTTGAAAAATCTGACTATTGAATCAAAATTAGTTTGGGAATGCCGAAAAGTATTGGACGAGCTAGGTTTGAAAAATAAGCTCTCATTGATCTTGGCGCCAGGACACTCGGAAATCAGTATTATGCCAGGCGCGGTAAAAGGGGCTATAGAAAGTTGATGTAGGGAAAGTCATGAGCGGGAGTGGGCGAAGACTACTGTAGATGGACAGGCCATCGTTCTGTTGGGATTAAAACTCAACAGAGGCTTCGCCTCATAAACTATCATCAGCATAAAATAGGTAAAAACGTCTCGCCTAGGTGAGACTGGGTCAGGCCTTGGTAGATCCAGATTGGATTCGCTACCTCTCCGTAGAAGAGTTACTGGACTTTTGAAAAAGGAGAGGACTCTAGGGACTGGGATCGAGCTTATTGGGGTTAGGTGCAATGGGTCTTGCGGCTTAAGTGCCAACACTCGTACTAGGGGATCTCGGTATGAGCTCGTTTTAGATTAGATTAAATTAGATAGTCTAAAGTGCGCTCTACGCTTTGCAGATGAAAACTTTAGGATCCTCAAATGGCGGTCTGTAGCTGACCGCCTGACCCTTTCTTGATCGGAGTAGTAAATAAACTACAGAGAACCTATACTAAGTACAGCCGGTTTATTGACTGTCAAGTCATGAATGTATAATCATGTCATCCAAATGCTCAAGCATATCCTTGACGTTAAACCTCCCGCTTAATATATCTCGATTGCAGTGAAAACACCAAGGCTATAGCGAGGTACTTAGGCGGTCACCCATAAGGTTATTCAAGTACTGACCGTGCTTAGATGTGCTTTAACCTTGGCGACCGCAAGCCAATCACTATCAGTTCGACGTGGCTCATTATTTAAAAATATCTATAAATGTTTTAAAGGATTATTAATAATTAAATACGTTACCAGGATAGTTACATTAATCTCATAAACTGTTTAGATTAACTGCATACCTTAAAATAACGGATTAAGGAGCAAGGTACGATATTATGTATATGATAATATTATCCGAATGATTGGTTTTGATAATATAATAATAATGTCAATGAAGTTAATATAGTGATCGCCGTCAATTTTACTGTACTGATGATAATACTGTTGTAGCGGTCCTGAGAGAGTCCTGCTAGCAATAGTTCAACCTCAGAAACCAGTACTTTTTTCTTTAATACAAGACCACTCTCAGACCCACCCACTACCGGACTATTCTCACCGTTGTTCTCTAGCTTATTATATTGCTGGAAAAACTGCCAGTTCACCTTTTTGTTCCTGAAACAAAAATAAACATTTTAAATTTCCCTAGCAAACAATCTTGAATTAAGCAGAAAAGAGGATAGGGGGTTAGGAATGCAAAAGTGACCCCGCATATATTTAGTCCATATTGGCACCGTGTATTGCAGCCCATATGAGTGCACCTGGAATAATTCCGGTCACTTTTGATAGATTTTGTTGGTCAAATATAGTAAATGATAAAATTTAACACAAATGAAAAATGATTTTTACTCTACTTAGCGTAATGTCTTTAGACATTACATTTTTCTTTTTAGATTCATAAAAAGCGTGACAAAATCTATTGAATGTGACCGGTATCATCCCAGGGGAAGAAAAAAGTTTATTTTTGTCGGACGGTGGTATCAACTGAAAACATCGACTTTGATAAAATAATAAATGATTTTGCAGCTCTTAAAGGCAGAAGAGTACTATTTAATTTAAAAAATACTTTTATGATAAAGGTTGACAACTAAAATATTTATTGCAAGTATTCTTATGATTATATATGTTTGTTTTTATTTAGCACATTAAAAATTAGTCCAAATTCATTTTATTATTACTTTATTATACTAATTAATTATAAAAATTTATGTAATTTTGAAAATTCGTTCCAAAAGTGAACCTTGGCCCCATGTATAAGAAATAGTTTGAACTTTAGAATCCCTACTTCTTAAGGCACCTTTATCTCAAAAGACAATCCCTCGCAAGGGCTGGGCCTGAAGGACCTAATGACATCTTTCACTTGATACGTTTTTACTATTTTCTTTTTTAACAGATCCAATCATTGATATTTCTCAACCTACTTTTTCTTAGATCTATATCCAGGTATTTCAGTTCAGTCATTCATGTTCTTTTCAACTCTAGTTCAACTATAATTATTCAAGTTTCAATTCTTCTCAATTCTTAGTTCAAGTTCTAAGTCATTAATTCTCTAAGATAATTCAATGTTTTCAAAGTTCGATTTACTCAAGTTCAGTTCTTTCTTGGAATCCTCAAAGGTCGTTCTACAGGCTTTGCATCCCCCGATGCCTGCAATATGGATAATGTTCGACTTATTATCATACTTTTCTCTACATACGAAGCAACTTGGGCTGCTACTGCAGTTTGCAAACTTATGATCTGCACTTGAAGTTGAAAGGATCAAAATACATTTGAATATTTGCGCCATGTTGATATTTCTGCTCTCTATGAGTCGGGTTTTAATTCATTACAATTTCGTTAATATTCGCATTAATTTGGGGAAAAGGCGGCAATGGGCAAGTGGGGAACTGGATACTGCTAGATGGTCTGGAGGGGGGCGGGCGCGAAAGGGAAATTAATAAAAGGGATTTTCGCATGCCACTCGTCCTCACTTTTCCAAGCTGGTGAAAATAGAAACACGGTAGCCACTTCTTTGCGTGTCTCCGACAGCCCAAAGGTGTAGTTTGATTTTAGTGGATTGCCCTTCTGGCTAAAGTTTAAAGTTTCTTTTGCTCTTTATTTTTATGTAAATTTTCATTATTTAATTATTATAAAATTAGAGTGGCGACTTATTTTGTGGTTACGGAAACTGAGGACGGCGCGCACGGAAATAGAGGCGTGGGATTTTTCAAAGTGGAACTCTAAAAATTGTCTTCCTGCTATTGGGCCGTTGACAAAGGGGATAATTTCGAGGAATATTTTGCTGCCAAACCGTTGATCGATTTGATCGAAAAAAGCTTGACGAAAATCGACGCAACATCAGTATACAGATTCCGAGCACGCGACTTCCGGTCTACCGCCAATTCCCTCAGTTGGAGTTTAAACCATCAGTTGGATAAGTTTTTAACATTTTACATTTTATCTCTGATCCAATCATTCCCTCTTAATTTCATATCTGTGTTGTCTTTTTTTTGTATGTTATATCTCATATCAAGTATTGCTCACATTTTGTTAATTTCGTGGATATCCAATATTCACGTGTACGCAAGTGCCTCATTGTAACTTTTATTTATTCAAAAGCGTTTTATCAAAGTGTGATAGTGTGTGTGTGTCGCGACATTCTATTTCGTTAAAATTTGGATCAAATTGTGTAAATTAATTAGACTGATTTTTTTGAATAATATATTTTGTTATCGAGGGTTAATTTTGTCTTATTTTATTGAGTTTATTTCCATTGCGAATTTGTTTCCAATTATATTTAAAATTTATACAATTTCAATTAATTCTGAAAGAAAAGATTTTATATTTCAAGTATAAACTAATCGTTACAGAGTTTGCTCAGTACGTTGGCATAAGTTGTTCTTGTTGCGACTCGGATTAACCTTTGTAGACCCTCTCGTTGCTTTTTTCATATTGGTTTGCTTAGGATTCGGTGTTACCGTTACCTACGCAATCTTTTTTAAAAAACTTTTTTCGCCTCTTACTTTTTTTCTTTGCCTCGTCGTCAATCCTCTCCGGACTGCCAGAACTTTTTTTTTCGTTTCTGCGCCTCTATAACTCCACATTGCCTGTAGCACCACCCAGGTTGCTATCTCCATTTTCTGCTAGGGTGTACATTGTCTTCGCCTCACTGACAAGATCCTGAAAAGTCTAAAGTCCGTCCTTAATAGTCATGTTGACATTCTTCTGGATTTCGCAAGACTTTACCATCTTGGCGATCTCCTCTTTGATCCTCTGAAGACACTCAGTGTGACAAATTAATTAAAGAATTAAATGTACCAATTAATAAAAAAACTGGTTCAGGACAATTAGCAAACGGAGAATTCTTAACAGTCTCTAAAGAGGTGGTGTTACGCATAGAACTCAATGGAGAAGCCTAATCAGATTCCTTGCCCTTACTTGGTTAATTCAAAAGTTCCGAGCCTATCTTGATGGTTACTATTTTACAGTAATAATAGACCATAGTAGTCTTAGACGGCTCCATACCCTCAAAAATCCCACTGGCCGATTAGCAAGATGTACATTAGTCTTAATTGAATACGACTTTGACATAATACATCGAAAAGGTCCACTACACCACGTACCAGACACACATTCCGTTACTCTTATCTCCACGCCGTTCCAAATTCAAATATATTATCGTCATCCAAGATATTTTTATTAAATATATTAAAGTTTATGCTTTAAAAAACGCTACTGGTAAATTAAGATGAACGTAGATAGGTCCTCTATCTCAGGGTACTTGATGGATCGAGGTGAGATCTAGTGGAAGCCATATTCTCAGCATTTCGCATCGGGCATAAACATTAGGTACCATCTTGATTTCTAGTCCCTTAATTGGTCCTTACCTAATCTCTAGCGTGTTCGAAATCTTGTTTCGTTTGATAACGAAATTCGGAAATCAAGTTCTAGAATATCTTTGGAGAATAAATGAATGAAAGGGAAAAGGTTGATTGAAACTCACACTAGACTAGGCATAACGTTACGAATAAAATTACAGACAGGACTAGAAAATGGTGGAAGGTCACTAGTGACAACGATCTGTACTGTCGCATCTCGTACTCAGTTTAATTTCTTTGATTTCAAATTGTTTTTGTATAGTATTTTATTACAATATATGTTTTTTTCAAAGGTTTAATTAATGTCTCATTATTGACTTTTCCCTTAATATTAAAATCAAAATTAAAAATAAGGTTCCTAAATAAAATAATTTTATAGTTTATCTAGAAATCTAGTAAAAAACTGTAATGATAGTTAGAAATCAGCCGGTAAATATTTGTACTTAATATTATCGCGCGTCGATAAACATGTTACCGACCGCGGAGCACAAGACGTAGTACCCGATTACGCCGCGCGGGCCGCATCGCCAAAGCTCACTCGCGTGCGCCCAGCCCACCGATCGGCTATATAAGCTGCGCTCTCGCTGAGGACCGTCACTCTCGTGCTACACGGAGTCCGGGTGAGTCTTACCTATCTGATTAGGAGTTTTACTCCGAAAATCTTTGCAGAGAGTTTTACTCTCGTTCCTCGGGTTTAACCCGTCGAACATCATATCGGTTTTATGTGTAAATAGTGTATAGTAACGAATTTGAAAGTAATGTATCGTAATGTAAAGTAACGTAATGTATAGTAAAGAAATATTGTAAAGTAACGTATCAAGAGGTAAAGTAACGTAACAAATGTATAGTAAAGAAATATTGTATTCCCACAATTCAAAGTAAATTTTCCGTTTTATTACCGTTTGTAGATATACTTGGAGTTTTACTCTTCGTATAATTAGAACACGAGTTTTACTCGTGGTTCACTAGAATATCGCGGATTTTTAGGCAGTATTGCAATTGATTTCACGGCTCATCGCAGCGAGTTGAAGCCGATTTCGTTAATGCGCGGCTCAAATAAGCGACGTTACCAGATCTGTACGCCTGTACATTTTTCACCTGTAAATACCGTTGTAAATAAATAATTTGTTTCAGTTTGTAATTAACCCGTAATTATCCTGTTATTATTTTTGTTGGGATCAAAACAAACCCTGACTCGGCGAGCTAAAATATTAATTCTTACAATTACAAACGTTACAAAACTTTATTGAAAAACTCTAACTCGATCCGGCTAGCAACTGTTTCCAAATGCAACTTAATTTCTTTTACACACCACCAAAAATCACCATAATGGAAATACTAAAAATCAGTTTTTTTTCTAAAACGGCCCCTAAGCGTGTAATGTAATATTAAAATGGTTCCATATTCAAATATTAAAAGAAAATTTAATAATAGATTAAAACAATACCTGAAGCTATGGCGACGCTTAATTTCAGTTGTTGCAAGAAGTCCAAATGGCCCATCTTCATCCAATCTGAAGTCTCTATGTTGATCAATTTTCATATCGGAGTCCATAGGCGGTTCCAAACTATTTGTTCGACTTCCAGTACCATGATTATTCCCCGTGTGATTCACTCCAGCCATGTCCAATAGGCAGTTGAATATGGTAGAACGCTGTTCGAATATTTTAAACCCGTGTCAAATTTACTAAAGTAATTTATTATAAATCACGTAGCACTACTGATCCCAAAAAATTATTACAAACACATACAGGCTTTTTTCGATTCAATTATTTATTTGTATTATTCTTTTTTGAGCTACTTATCACAATGTAATAAAATAATTTTATTTAACTATTTTATATTTAGTGCTATTAAAACTTTCTAAAAGCAGAAAGATTGACGTAAGGAATGAATATATCTTTTCAAATATGGTTAAAATTAAAAAAAATAATTAATAAATTATAATTGTAGTAACAATATGTATTATTTTCTTATTATATTTTTAATAATAAAATTATAGATATTGATATTTCCGCAATTGTGAAACCCGACATTTTATTAGAAATGTTATATCAAAAAATTATATTGTTGAAACGGTATTGCTTTTTTTCTCTTTCGAAAATAAATAACATTAGAATGTCTTTCTTTACCTAATTTGCATATTTACTCGTTTCATAGTAAGAATATTAAATTCGTAATCAGCGATCCCGAAAACCCCCTAGTAACAAGTTTTAGACAAATCTAGTAAATTTTAAATTTTTTTGTCGTCATATTAAATCCGCCATTTTGAATTTTGAAAAACTGATATCAGATTCGTAATCAGTGACCCCGAAAAACTCCGAGTAACAAGTTTCAAGCAAATCTAGTGAATATTAAATTTTTTTGGTCGCCATATTGGATCCGCCATTTTGAATTTTAGAAATCTGACATCGGATTCGTAATTAGCGACCCCGAAAACCTAAGAATACCCATTGACAAGTTTATCGTATTGTGTCTACTTATTTTTTTTAGATGCTTCTATAGCGGTCATACACACTGGTGGCACGACATTTTTATGCCTCTATAGAGGTCAATAACAGTGAAGGGGTTAACAATGTAATAAAAAAATATAATATATTACTATAATCATAATTTATAAAGTAATAAGTTTTTTAATCTTCGTCAACACTTACTTCCGAAATGCCAATATGCTTGGCTGTAGTGGTTTGAAAATATATTCCAGTGTTGCAAGAAATTCAAAATTTTTAATTTCTCAAAAATCATATTGGTTTTGTACTAATTTAAATAAAAATTTATTCATTAATTACTTACGTAATCTTATTTGAAAGTAATAGCAGTTTTCCAATTACGTTTTAAAAGCCTGTATATTTTTGTTGAAATTTATCTTAAGAGAAAATCCTTAATTGTATATATGTAATAAGAAAAATATTTGCGTACAAGGATACAAAATAATATTAATTAAAGTGTCATTTACAGATAAGATGGCAACTAATTCCTACATAAAAGTAAGTAATTCTTTTCTTATATATACATGCATTAATGAATCAGTCACTGATTATATAGCACATTTTCATATTAAATTATTAACTTGCTATAATTAAAATTAGATCAAAATTAGTTGAAAAAATTTATGAGCGGATAAAGTAACTGTGAATAGAAAGTACTAATCCGCGCAACATAATTTTTATCCTAACTTTTGATTTAATGGTTATTATCACACCTAAAAAAACCGTAAACAACTTGATCTAGAAAAACGTTCAGACAGCGCTTTGAATATCCGTAGGATTATACATAAGACGTTGTCAATATCTGGATCCTATGAGGGCTTATTTAATATTACGGTATCTCCGATTTCTCCACAAATCTTTAATAGAGACACTAGATTGATGCACAGCATAAAAAGTTTACTTACAAGTTGCTTAGATAAAGAAATGCCTACATGAAAAGTTCTTTGATCCGCAACCTTAATTCTTAGTACATTCAGTGACAGATTCATTATAAATTAAGTGTACTAAATACAATTTTCATCTATTAATTTAAAACATAGCAAGTTCTTGAATATTCTATTTAAAATTATGTAATAGTATACGGACAAAAATGGATGTTCTAACAGAGTGGACATAGTATTTAATTCAAGTAGTAAATAATTTAGATAATTCAATCATAAATTAAATTATCGAGTATCTAATTTTATTCTGAAATCAAGAGCAAAAATAAAATTTAGTTTAGGGTTATATTTGAAAACAGCCAATGCAGATAAATTAAATTTTTACTCCCGAGTTCTTTTGAATATCTAGGGATACTAAGCAGGTTTACGTATTACTTGAAAGTGATTATATCTGCGTACACAGATATTATATATATATAGTTCCATTTTTCCAGTATACATTATAATAATTATTATTCAATTTACCTAATTAGTAAATAAATTGCAATATTACAAAGAGTATTTAGTGCAAAAAAAAATTGTCTTTTAAAAATTCGTGACTTAGGAAAAACAAATGTATTTGAGTATTACATTTATTTCAGTGGAAAAAAGTAATAATTTCGTGTTTAGTATGAACTACTTAAAAATAAATTAAATATTAAAAAAGTTAATTTACAATTCATAACTCTATTATGCACTAATAAAAAATTAAAAGAAAAGGACTAACGTCACTAAGAGGTATTAGAAATACTATATAAAATTAAAATAGTTTTTTCAGGCATCTATTGAACTCATATACATTGATAGACATTTTGGACTTTTGCGTAATTTCATGATTAGTAGTAGCCGCAACTTTAAAATAGTCAGCTGTTATACATAGAAAGTCTGCGCTGCGGTCTAAAAAGTCTCTCAGTGCATTTCACTATTTTAAGATGTACGTATAATTATAAGAAATTTGAAAAAAATGTTTAAAAAATATAATCGCCAAAATCCACATAATTTTTATGAAATAGAAACTATGTATATTTTAATTGGCAAATGAAATATCTAGCTTGTAGTATAATTTTTTAAATTATAAACTGATATTTCTTAACATCTTTTTTAAGATACATTTTTTTACATATAAATGCGTAAATGTTTTTAATTACTCTGTTCTACTACAAGATGCAAGATACATTTGGTAATAAAAGAATATATTTTTTAATTTATATAAATTAAACCAATTTTATCGATATCCCTATTTCGAGAGTCAAAAAAATACAAAGGAAATAGAGGTACATTGGACAACTACCTGCGACCTACCCCTGTCTTATTTGACTTCTTTAAACGCGTTGAAGATTCCAATTAATATTGTGTTTAAATTATACATAGTAGGAAATTATTAATGTTGTGTTGCAAAAATCTTGCAATTTAACTATTTGAATTCACAAAAAGAAAAAAATTTTATTTTTTCGTAAATCCAATTAGATCTACAGTGGGTATCTGTTTATATATATCTCTGTGGCAGGGATTTGATTTTGTGACCCCATCTGAACGTCACCTAATTACACTAATTTTTGTTTAGAATTTTGAGAACACAAATTGACTTTGTGTATCTGTTAGAATAAATTTATTTTAAAGTATCAGTACCGAGATCTACTATTAGACACAGTAATGGCTTTATCACCTGGATTCAGATAAGCTAAAAGCGCAACGTATGTCTCTTTGAAATAACAAGTATCGTAAGTTGGCTACCCAGCGTCGAAATCCAGTGACAACAGTGCTGTAATATTGGATACCATGGATACTGCAACATTCAATGCCACAAGGAGGATGGACTATAGGGAACCCAGTTTCTTAAGGTTCCCCTGATCCGTTTGGAAATACTTGGAATTAGAAGAGGAAGCGCTTTAAACGTTACTAGTGTCAGTAGCGCAAGAAGTTTGATTCCGTCTGACCTAGACAATGAGACAGTTGAAGAAGAACGCGAGAAGTGTTTAAAGTTATGGTAGGAGGAAGCTGAGTGTCTTCAGTGATTCGAAGAGGAGATTGCCAAAGTGGTAAAGTCTTTCGAAGTCCAGAAGACTGTCAACATGATTATTAAGGACGAACATAAGACTCTTCGGGATTTTGTCAGTGAGGCGAAGACAAAGCCGCCCTAACAGGTAATGAAGATAGAAATCTTGGTGACGCTACAGGCAATGCGGAAGTGAACCGAGAAGAGCGAAACAGGAAAAGAGAATATATCCATAAGAAGCGGATATGGCACGCAGTACTGTTTTTCACTACAAATAATGGCCATATTTTTTGGTGCTGCTAAGAATGTTGCCGAAATAAAAATATCTATATTATTTTGGACAGACAAAAGGACAAGAGGAGGCGCCTCTTGTCAAAAAGATTGCAATCCCCGTCAAAAATATCTCCGTGGAAATCCTCGAGGATTTCCTCCTGTCAAATTTGGACGGAATTCCTCGAGGATTTCCACGCGGATCTTGTACTCTAATTTTTTTGTCCGTATTTCAAAAATCCGTAAGGAATCCCCGAGGATTTTATACTTTAATTTTTTCGTTTCTTTTTTAATAATTCTCACTGAATTTACGAGGATTTTGTACTTTAATTTTTTGTCTGTATTTCAAAAATCCACAAGGAATCCACGAGGATTTTATACTTTAATTTTTTCGTTTCTTTTTTAATAATTCTCACGGAATCCACGAGGATTTTGTACTTTATTTTTTTCGTCTGTTATTTATTCTAATTTTTTTGTCTGTATTTCAAAAATCCTAACAGAATCCACGAGGATTTTGTACTCTAATTTTTTTTTTCTGTATTTCAAAAATCCGCAAGGAAGTCCTCGAGGATTTTGAACTTTGAATTAATTTCCCTGCACCTATAAATTCACGAGGATTTTTATCTTAAAAATGTCTTATCTGTGTTTCACTGTCGTCAAAAAAATCCATAATGATTTTAACTTAAAGTTAAATATTTTTATTTCCTGATCGTTGAAAATATCCACGAGGACTTTTCAGTAAATATTTTTTGTCGGCATTTAATTACAAATTTCCTCAAGGTTTTCGAACTTTGAAATTCAATTTTTTCTCTTTGTACAAATCCTCGTGGATTCCTTGCGGATTTTTGAAATACAGACAAAAAAATTATAGTACAAAATCGACGTGAAATCTGTGAAGATTTTTAATAACAGACGAAAAAAATAAAGTACAAAATCCTCGTGGATTCCTTGCGGATTTATAAAATACAGACAAAAAAAT